CGTTAAAACGCCCGTTGATCCCGCGACGTTTGGGTACCTATTGTTCCTCCAACCTCTCATGATCAAGCAAAGCACCGTTGATGAGGTTGGTAAACAATATGTTACTGCATCGGAAGTACTAATATACCCTTTTCCCATGGCTCCTAACGATCATCGTGTTCACACCACCAACGCATCACCCGATTAGGTATCCTTGTAACAAGGCTAACAACGTCACCACGATTTGGGGCCGGCGAAGCATTGAACCGGCGCAATCTATGTAATTTGAGACCTCAATTCTAAGGGCAGGAATACTAGTAACAGCTCAACGCAAACTGGGCAATTTACTGATTGGACCAGATAGATTCCTGCGTTTGTTGAACATCTCAAATTTCTTTGTACCCAGATGGATTCTTTCAAGTTCCCTGCGGGCGTGAGCTTCGCCTGCGGGTAACAAAAGCCTGTCCTTGTCTGCTGTCTGTGTGTTGCACTAGGTATTATCGGGCCAATGGCACGCTAGGCACGTCCCCCTAAGCAATCTCCAATTCCATGGAAGCCAAGAAAATTCGGAGATCTGAGAGATGGCTCTACATGTAGATATATGGTGAAACCACTGACACGTGCTTTGCCCGAGTCAAACAAAGGGATAAAGTGGAAGAAAGGGGTTTGGACTCAGCAATTGGGGACACAGTCAGTCAAAACCAGTATGGGGAGGGAAGTAGGCCTCTCTGTTCGCAGTCAGGGGGGCATTTCCCATACTGCAATTGAGCTATTATTCTTGAAGGGCACCCAGACAATGCCTCAAATATTATGAGAGTTGGCAAACAGAGGTGGCGAGCTATCGATTGTGATCCATTGGCTACCACAAGGCCGAGGAAATGAAAAGTCTCCCACCAAGGTAGTACCCAGGTTGGTACCTTGTGCTGTTGTCAACATATTCAAAACGATACATACCCTCTCACCAAAACCGCTCCGCCCTTCTGACACTACCCTGGGATGAACTCCTCTAACAAGGTGATGTCACCGCTCTTTAATCGCATGTCCACAGACCACTACCCAATCCCGCGTTCACAAGCTACTTACTAAACACTTGCATGGCTGAGACAAAAACCTCTGCAGGCGTACATGAGTATGCGGCGCATCAATCAATGGGGTTTCCGGAAGAATGGAACCTTTCATTTAACCTAACTTCCATGAGGATGGACACTACGTACAAACAAGTCAATGCCTAAGGTAATATCATGCAGCCTCTTTTCAAACAGGTCATGCAAATGAGATATGAGCAAATTGCGCCATGCCACACCCACTCTCGCCGTCAAACCAGGAGAGTACTAATTGGAAAACACCACAACACCAAGATACATGGCAGAGTGCAGTTAGAATAAGCATCACCAATTCTTTGTGTGAGGTTGCAGCCAGGAATAGATATCCAAACCCTAGTACTGCCAAGCTTTTCTCCCCGTAAACTAAGGCAGCACTAGTTTCTTAAAGATCCCCTACCTGGGACCTCGTAGCTCTGACTCTAAATACTTAGCCATTGCTACTGCAGGAATTTGTCAGTAATGGTCATTGGTGAGGTCGCATGGGGCCTTCGACTCGCTCATAAACCATCCTTCACATGGCATCATATCTGAAAGCCGTGTCACACAACTAATACGTGGTGAGATGCATGCCACCCTCCGATTCCTAATTAGTTTATGAGACCTGTATAGGCTGGATTCTCCCTGTTGGCTAGTCTTCTTATCTTGCCATACGTTCATACATTCCTGTGTCACCTGGATCTTTCACCCCATGCACTGCAGTCGTCTCAAGTTACGTGGAGTCAGTCAATTCACTCCAATGAGTCATCTCTTGCCTACTTCCAGAAATCTGATTGAATACGGTACCAGGTGTGCAATGTGATCGGCTATGGCCGTGTTGTACCAAGTAATTTTTCCTGAACGCCGAATTTTTCCCGTCCTTGCGCCCTGAAAACATTATTATGCGTTCTACATATGCGTGATCTGCCGCTGCGTATTCTTATGCATACGACATTTTGTATTTACCCGTGATTCCGGTCCCCTGGCTCATCATTCTATGGCTCGTTCAATGTACCTTTACGTCCATTGTGCCGATTCCAACTGTCTTTCGATTACTGTGCTGCTGCTCGCCTGGCATTCTCGCGTCCAATCTTCTTGAAGAAGGCATTGCTGTCAGCCTTCTTCCGCTTTGCCGATAACTTCTTATTCTGCTCGATATACGCCATGTCCTGGCCACCACTAAGCTCGCCGAGAGTTCCCGCTGTTCGTCGAGCTCCCTTCTTTTTCTTGCGCCCCATAGTACCCTGATGGAACATGTCGTCGTTCGGGTCATCCTCCTCCATGCTCTCATTCTCCACAAGAACTTTCTGCAACAGTTCACGCCGCTCGGATACATCTGCAAATGCTAGTCCGGGTGTCTTCTCGATGTTTGCTAATTGTGTGATGACCTTGAAAGCATATCCCTGATCGACGAGGAAAGCTTGACGTTTGGAAGAAAAATACATTTCTTGCGTGTCTTTCGACACCAGAGAGTAGAAAAAGGCATTGAAACCCTCATCATTACGCCTTTTGGCCCTAAGAATTCGTCCCAAACGCTGCGCTTCCTGGCGACGTGAACCATAGTGGGATGAAATTTGGATGAGGCAGGTAGCCTCGGGCAAATCCAGGGACGTGTCTCCAATCTTCGATAGAAAAAGCGTGTTGACATTCGGGTTGTGCTGAAAGTTCTCCAACACTTGCAGACGTTCTGCTTGACCAGTGCCACCATAGATGAACGCCTTTTGAAGCTTTAGTGCATATGCTTTGAGCGCATACACGTTGTCCGAGAATACTATAATCTTGTCTCCTCTTGATTCGTGGTAATTAATGAGATATTGACAAGCCTGAAATTTCCGGGGGTTCATGATATAAAGCAAACCCTTCTTCCGGCTTGGTGCTTTGAGATACTGGTCGTAGAACTCTGTAGGCATTGGGCACCATACTTCTGCACACTGAACTCTAGCAATATGTCCTTGCTTTGAAAGCTCCATCCAATTGGCTTCAAATAGCTTGGGTCCGATAAGAAAGTTCAAATCAGAAATCTTGTCGTCTTCTCTAAGGAGTGTAGCTGTGAGACCAAGCTTTGAATGAGTCTTGATCGAAGACGTGACTTTTCGGAAGATGTTGGCCGGCACAACGTGCACCTCGTCCAGCAGCATCAGACCCCATTCTCGACCTGTCAAGAACTTCATCATCTTCTCTGCATCGTAAGATCGGGCCCGCGATTGTGTGACCATTGCATAGGTTGTGACGATGATCCCAGTGCTTCCGGTGAAGACGTTGTTCTTGGAATCGGATGTGAAGGCAACAATGTCATCGGGATTAATGTTGGACCATTTCAAAAATTCATTCCTCCATTGCACAACAGACATTGAACTCGTGCATAGAACAATGACACCCTTCTTGATAGTACACGCTGCTGTGATACCCACAAGTGTCTTTCCAGCACCACAGGGCAGAACGATTAGTCCACTCTTGGCTCGGCCGTTGCCAAACATCTTGCTTAAGCTTTTTTCCTGATAAGGCCGAATCTGAGTACCAGGCTTCAGATCAATATCCAAGTTTGCGTTGGCTTCATCTCTCCGAAAGTCATACTCCTCCAGAACTGGGTATCCTAGATTCAGGCATTCTTTCTGTACCGTTTCGACATCCTTGTCTGCAATTTCAAACGAATGCGTCACTTCCTGGTCCTCGTCATCCTCCTCGTTGAGCGTGGCATAGACCTCACCCTCCTGGACGGGTTGCCCATCTTTGCTTTGTTCGCCTGCTTGGCTAAGGCCATTGGCCTGCTTCACTCCGGCGGCATTCTGTGTTCCGGGAATGACAAGGCCGCCAATCTTTGGCGCAACTGATGTTGTGATCTCTTCCGTTCCTTGGACGCGTAAGGGACCAATTTTGGGGTTCTTGAGGAGAGTCTGGAGCATGTTTGGATCAGGACTTTCGACGTAGTACTTTGTATTCTTGAGCACCAGCTTCACCTTGCCGTAACTCTGAGTGCAACTTGTAATGAAATTTCGAATCTCGTCGGGCAGAGGTGTCTTGAGAAATCGATCTAGTGTATTGATGATGTCCTCTGGCGACAACCCAACAGAGACGGCAGCGTACAGGCTGTGTGTTGTAAGGGCGTACTCGTGCATGAAAGTCGGTCGAGACAGGGGTTCAGAAATAGTGATGAGGAAATCCTGAGCCTGCTCCGCGAGTGGATTAAAACTCTCTAGAATGATGCGGCCTTTTTGAGGGTCTATCCAGAGAGGTCGATTCTGATGGTCTTTCTTCAAGACCAGGTATGAAAAATCACGGTCGCCAAAGATGTGTGGTAGGGGATCCCGGATCGCATGTCTCTTCTGATAGCGATCCAAAGAAAAGATGTCTATATTCTTGTTCAAATCACGTTCCAAGGCCTCGTCGACGGGGCCCTCCTCCTCATCCGGCATGTCCTCATTGCTATCGATCGTTCGTGGCGTTGCAGCTCCAGGTGTTGACATGCGCGAGGACCTTCCCACTTTTCCCCCACCCTGGACAGCAACACCTGCTTTCCTCTTGGGCGGCATTGTTGCTGAATTTCCGGGCCGGACAATCAGGGCGTGGTTAGCGGCGGTCGTATAAATGCTGATGAAGGAAAGGAGAACGTGAAGGTTGTTTGGTGTGAGTAAGCGCTGCTAAGAGCGTCACTGAATGATAATGACTAACCGAGTACTTAAGTGGGTCCATGTTTCTCGAAGCGCCTGCTCTAGTAAGCAACAGAAGGTACCTACAACTACTCCGTACGTTAGCACCTGTGGCAGGGGGCTGTAAAGTGCATCCCGAAAGCCTGATTATTAGATACCCCACCAAAACTCTACCGACATTGATCTGAACCCAACCTGCAACTATTCTCAGACACCATAATCCAGCTGTGAACACTTCTCTCAACGACGCAGACGATATTGCACAACCTCAGGGAATTACTTATCACTTACTACAATGTGGTACATATGCCTCGATTCTGTTCATTATCCTGTGACTAATCAATGTCTAGCAAACACATTCTCAACGCCCAAGTTTCCGTTCGGTCGCCTTGTTGTACGTGCAAAGTTTATTGAAGCCAGTCTCCGCGGTTTTTAGCTGTTACCCGCTCAGCTTACCAACTCACTTTAACTACAGGTCGAAAATGGTTCGACTGTGTCGAATGCCACAGCGAACAGGAGTCACACCCTCTTAAGGAAAGCTTCGAGATGATTTTCGCGTGTAAGAAGTGCAGAAAGTGCTTCAGAAAGGATGTGAAGGAGTTCGAAGAGGCCGACGAGTTTTGCCCTCATTGCGACAACCATTTTGTAATCGACGCAAAGACCCCTCAAGCAGCTCTTTCGATTGAAAGCGACGATGTACGAATGGACAACAAGATGCTCAAGGACGACAGACAAAAGACACGAGGGCTCAGGTCCATCTTCGACCCGACAGAGGAAGCCGACAAGCTGGGTTAATTCAGAACACAAGATCAGATAAAAAGAGGAAAGTCGTGGCGTTTAGGATACATAGCGATTTGTCACTTTCAGGGGGATACGTTCTGAGAGAACTTAGGCGTGCATCATTAGTTGTGTTAATACAATGGCACCGGGTCCCGACTTTTGAGACCCGTGCTCTTGTCTATGTAAACTCTTCCCATACGCCTCTCTATTCCGCAGCGGAGTCATCCTGAGATCGAGTCAGGATGGCAGCACTGCCGGTTCCAGGGGTCCGTCCCGTCTTCTTCTTAGCAGCTTCTTCCTGCTTCTCCTGCTCAATTTCCTTGACGTAGCCTTCAATCTCGGACGTAGGTAGTGTTTCGATGGTGGCGCCAGGTGCCATGAGAGAAATCTCGATGTTCTTGGCTCCTGTCTGAACAACTTCGAGCAGCGACTTGATGGCAAGCCGGATGGTAGCCTCTCGGTCCATATCCTCCTTGTAGTTTCGCTCGAGGAACTCACGAACAGTCTTGCTTGAACGGCCGATAGCGTTTGCCTTCCTGTTGGATCATTAGTTTCGAGATCTGGCCTAATATTTCTATCATTTTGAATAACGTACCAGGCAGAGTAGATGCCGGAAGGCTCCGTCTGGTACAGCCGAGGGACATCGCTGCCGTTGTCGAACCCAACAATCAGAGTGCTAATGCCAAATGGTCGAACGCCACCAGCCTGCGTGTACCGTTGCTGGACGCCAGCGACATATTTGGTAATATAGTCGATAGTAACAGGGTCTTCAACTGACAACCGATGGGACTGTGCCTCTAATCGAGCTTTGTCAACGAGGATACGAGCATCCGCATTTAGGCCAGCGAAGGCGAGGGCGACGTGGTGATCGAGGAGCTGGATCTTAGAAGGGGTGATGCGAGTATCTTGCAGCTTCATGGCGGAGCGCTTCTCACATCCTAGCACCACAACATCGGCACCCTTGACACCGACAGCACAAGTTCCTATTGAAGGTATAAGCCACCGCAACAAAGCTGTTGACCAAAACCTGATATTTACCTCGCTTGACAGCTTCGCCGGCATATTCGACCTGGAAAACGTGGCCGTCGGGACTATCCAGATGTTAGGAAGCTTGTCGTGAGTGTTGTTATGGTACTGACCTGAATACTGCACTTATTGTTAGCGATGGATATATCATTGAACACGGGCCCGTTATGTGAACTCACCCGACAGAGCTCTGTCGTAGCCGGATGCCATGGTGTCGGATTAAAGAAGAGTTGTTGCGAAATCGCTGTGCTTGGGGGTAGACAGTGTGCTTTTTTGGTGTATGGAGGCGAACCGTGGAGTCGTTGCGAGGCTCAAGGAGTGTTGACGTTGATGTACAAGTATTGGAGTGCTCAGCTTCGTCAGAACGGCAGCCTGCCTGGTACCTACGGAAGGCTGAGAGCTGTAGCTCCCCAGTTAGCAACGGGCCGGAAAAACACCGTTGCGTTTTCCATGGTGGGCACGGACCTCTAATTACTGCTGGCTCTCTTCTACATGCTTATATCGACTTCATAGCCGCATAAACAGTCAACTGCCCCTGGTACCAATTAATCAAATCATTGCTTCATATACTCCGCTTCGTGCTTGCATACTGAAACCGCTACCATGGTCTGATTGATTCAGTTTTGCAGTCTTGCAGTCTCGCAGTCCATATAGATCTTTCAGATCCCTACTTCAACTATGTGCGAAGCTGGCTGTTTACACATGAAAAGAATGGATTTAACATTTCTCACGAGGCCATAAAAATAGGTGAACGGTACAAGGTAAGCGCACGACTAATGTTTGGGAATAAGAGACATGTCAACTATCCCCGAGCTTAGAACGTCGCCACTTCGGACCATGTTTGACTCTGTAAAACACCGGCAACATGTTGACCTTTCTCAATGAGCCTCGATCGAAAGCTGTCGATCCACATGATCTCCATGAGTCCATCCTGCGAAACCGAATTGATGTCTCTGTACAAATCCATCGCCACGGTCATCGGCATAATCAGCATGTCAGGTTGAACAGTGTCATGCAAGACTGAATCGAGTCCACGGCAGATATCTGCCGCAAACATGCGCCCATGCTGATATCGATTGAGGTCGATCTGCAAGTCGAATGGCAAGTCAGGCCACATGTTTGGGTAAGCGTCGATGACTGGCTGGTAGATGGATCGGTGCAAGCTTTCAATGCATTGGTGAAATAGGATTTGTGTCATCCAGTAATATAGGAAGGCAAGTCCGGTGTTTGCGTCCCTGAAAGCGTACGAATTTGTGAAAGGAATAAGACCTCCGGGGCTGATCAGCTCCTCAGTCCAGTAGGCCACGGGCTGTTCAAAGCTGGGACGGTTGGCCATCTGAAACCAAGCATCAAGATGTCTCTCAAGGGAAAGACAATCCCGGAGAAGCTGCTGAGCGCTATGCCGTCGATGGAGGGTTGGTTCTGACGGAACAATCTGATCAACTTGAGAAAGGATGGCTGGCAGCAGAAGAACCAGATCCAGGAGATGGTCCAGGAGAGACTTCGGATGTCTCTGCCATGGGACAGTCTTCCAATCTGGAGATGATACAAATGTATCTTGTCGCCTCAGGAGAGCGAAGCCGGTCTATCTTGCACTCAGCAGAAGGAAATAACCATGGATCGTTGAACGCTACTTACAGCTAGAGGTCGATACACCCGCACAAAGAAATGATGATTGGGAAAGTGACTAAAGTAGGCCGGTCCCATTCGTCTCATCCGCTGGGATCCTGATTCGCCAAATGCATATGCTGTTTCATGCTAGCTACTTGTTAGCAGTCATTTGGAATCGGTAAGGGTATTGCACAAACCTCGAAGAAGAAGATGCAGTAACTTTGTGCCGAGTCATCTTGCTCATACACACTCGGTAAACGTGCTAAGCATTGTGCTCTTACACCAAATTCTCCTTCACCCAGTAATGACTGTAAGTCTGTCGGCGTATATGGCGGGAAGGTAATGCGGAAAGGTGTGGAGTCATCAGCTGAATGATCTGGAAGAGCGTATGGAAGCCTAGTGTGCAGGGCCGAGACGAGAACCGAATACTCCACTCCTTGGTTTGAGACAAGTGTGTGGTCGTCCCAGGCTGAGGTGAGAGGAAGGACTGGCGTGATACCGAGAGTTCTGGGAGGCTCCTCGTACAAAGGCGAGCTCTCCTTCTTGGAGGATGAGCCTTTCTTTGGATGGGAGGCTACCCTGCCTTTATTCTGCGGCGTCCCGGTAATGAAGACTCGTTCTCGTTCATAGCCTTCACATTGCCTTCCACTCGATATACACTTCTGGCAATAAGGCCTCTCGTTGCTGCACTGTTCGAGAATGTGAACTTGGATGGCAGAGTTGGGATGAGATGATAGAGACTTACCTTGACTCTTCTACGCCGGCAAGTTTCGCAGCCTTTGTATTTCCCAGGAACGCCAACCATGTTTATCTTGGTAAGGAGGTTGAGTTGCAGGATGTCATCTTGACAAGTTGTGTTCGGGGCAGCTTCTATTATAACGAAGGAACTATGGGATGGCCAGGATTTCGGCTACCCCGTCTGCGATGCTGCACCTCAACTGTCACCGGCATCTGTTGCAATGAGGCATCCTGTCAACGGTCTATCACCCCACACATTGCGGAAGTCCATCTTGCACATAGTCGTTAGGGCCACCTCGACGGGGAGATGCAAAGATGGCTCCTTTCATGGTAATCACCCGGTGAAGTTTCATTGCGGTAATAAGGGCCACCATGTACGACGAATAAGGAGTGTTAAGAGGCACTCTTTCGACCTGACCTAGTTGGCGACGGCCGCTGACAACACAACATCCACCGGGTGTAAAGCTCTCTGGGGCCATGGCTCGGCACATGCTAGGTATGACGAAACAATCCAATTGGAATCGATTGGGGCTGGCGACGTCAACGGTCAGGGACCCACGACAGGGACTTTGGACTGAGATAGGAATATGCGAACGAGCAAGTCTTCACTTACAGGGAACTTTTGGCCTAGCGCATCGGCTTCCTGTGGAGAAGCTGCAGCATCCGCCCCATAAGGCTGACAGGGAGGTGTGTGAGGAAGGGCGGCATTGGCTCCTCGTTGGCCATCAAATTTAAGAGCTGAAGCTGGCTATTTGACAAACAACTTGGAGTGGAGGGCAGCTCCGTTACTCCTGTTTGACAGATTCCAAATGACGAGGACGTGGGCATGGGTATGGGCATGGGCACAAGCACAGGCAGGGGGCCTTTGAGATGCAATGAGACACAACCAACTCGTTACGAAGTGTCAACATTAACCGGTCGAGTCATGTTTCTGACCTCCAGTCGTATTGACTTGCGCCTTGCGAATATTTAGGCATTAATTTACCTGATAATGTGCTGGCTGAAAATAAGCAGTGACCTGCACGTTTCGCAAGATGACGGAGATAGTTCCGCCCTGTGGATTGATTGACTACCACCAACGCTATTCAAATCGGCTAACGACTTTATCTAAGCATGTCTGCGTATGTATGCAGACGTACTTTGGTCTTTGAGGGCCATGGCTCTTTTTTTTCAAATGGCTGTACACAAAACAGCCATAGCTGCAATGTGCACAGCACTTTTGCTTATACAACGCTTTCGGCCTCATTTTTCCAATTTTTGCTCACTCACGCTCGCTTAGGTCAGCGGGGCTATCGAGGTCGGTTTGGCCAGCCACAGCTGGAATTACTGAGCAGTACGAATGACGCTGCAGCATACCCCAATAAAGGGAAGGGGGGTCACATATGCTGTCACTCGGGTACGAGCCCAAGAGACCGGGGTATCAAATATACTTGTAGGGGTTCATGATGCCATTCTGGGTCAGGTGTCAGCCCTAATGCCGGGGAATTGTAACAGAGGATTGAGGTGAAAATAGAGTTCCACGACGCAGCGTTCGATGGACGGGGGTTCACCCAAGCTTGAAAGGTGGACGGGGCGAGGGGAGCAAACTCACGGGATCAAAGAGATTCTTAATCTGCTTCATCAGGCCAATCGTTGTGTCGTCTCGGCTGTAGCCGATAAACTTCTTTTTCGCAATTCCCAACCCATGCTCAGCACTGATACTACCACTACGCTTCTGAATCCATTCGTATACCCAAGGCTCCAGGGCCTTCTCAACTGCAGGATCGTAACGACGCACCGGAATGTTGAGGTGCAGATTGGAATCACCCATATGGCCATAGCCAAGTACGTCAACAACCGGGTGGTCACACGTGTCACCCAGAAGACCCAGATCGATCAGACGAGCCTTGGTATCTTCAACAATGGTATACATCTCGTCGAGGGGAATAGAGATATCGTACTTGTAGGTGCCGCCCCAATGTCCAAGGCACTCGGTGATGCCCTCACGCCAGCCCCACAGGTTGCGAAGCTGCGTCTCGTCCTGAGCGACGACACCATCGGCAATGACTTCTCGGGTCATGACATCCTCCAGGAAAGTCTCTAGTTTTGCGTAGTCATGCTCGCCGTTGGAACCGCTCGTCTCAATCAGGCAGTAGAAAGGGTATTCTCCCTCGAGGGGATGCTCCTGACCCTTAACCTCTGACACGATTCTCTGGCTGCGGCCGTCCATTAGCTCAAATGCAGATAGAATTTCTGATAGCTGCTTCTTAGCCTCACGGAAGGCAAGTTGAGCTTTATCATACGACTCTATGCCAAACACAGCAACGTTGACAGCGGGAGATCGCTGAGGACATTGAATAGCGATCTTCGTGATAATCCCCAAAGTTCCCTCTGCACCAATGAAGAGCTGCTTCACATCGTAGCCGGTGTTGTTCTTTCGCAGGGTACACAGGTCATTGATGACGGTACCATTAGGCAGAACAGCCTCAACACCGAGGACGGTGCCATGTAAGCTCCCATAACGGAGCAATCGCAGACCGCCAGCATTTGTGGCGACGTTTCCGCCGACGTGGCACGAGCCCTTGGCGCCGAGGTCGAGAGGAAAGATATAACCCTTTTGGGCAAGGTATGAGTCGACAGTCTCGAGCACACAGCCGGCGTCAATAACAAGTGAACCACTGACTTCGTCGAAAGAACGAATCTCGTTCATGCGAGCCATGCTAATGACGATCTCGTCGAAAACGGGAATGGAGCCTCCCACAAGGCCTGTGTTTCCTCCCTGGGGTACCACGGCCAAATGCTGTTCATTGCAGTATTTGAGGATGCCGCTAACCTCGTCAGTGGTGCCTGGACGTAGCACCAACTTCGACTGGCCCTTGTACTTGTGCATCCAGTCCTCATTATACGTTTCAAAGTCGGCCGCATCGACGCCCGCTCCGCCGCCCGTGATTCCGTCAATAATGGCCGAGGGGTTGTCACCCAAGATCTCACGGAACCTCGCAACGTGCTCGGGGGTCACCTGGGCGAACCGGGCGTCACGCTCGAGCTGCGGGTACGTCTCGGATGTCAGCTTGCTTTGCTGTACCCGAGTCTGGGAGAGGAGCCTCGGGGCTGTAGTCGCGATGCATCGGGCGGGCGTCTTTGAGTGAGCAAGGCTTCTCTCGAGGATGTTGGTCCTTAAAGAAACAGTCCTCCGGCCACCGGAGCTGGAGGCGGATCCTCTCAAGGCACGGAGGAGCTGTGAACGACACGACATGCTGGGAAAATCGACTCTGGATCGAAAGGGCCGTGCAGATCTTGAAGCCGGTATCCCAATTGCCTATCTAGAGGTAGAATTATAAGAGACGAAGAGAATCTGAAGCCGTAGTCCATATCGCCCCAGTAACATTTTATCTATTGCACAAGGCTAAGAAACTGCGGAGCCCACCTTTCATCCCTCTCACGCAATCCGAACCGGCTATGCATAAGGTACCTAGTACCTAGGTAAGCCCTCGGAGGGCAAGAAAACACCAAACCTCCATACAGGGTGTTAAAATAAACCAAGTAAAGAGTCCTCTAAGTCTAGGTTAAATTTACCTAAAGACTTTTATCCCTTAGGGTTAAGGTCCTGAGTTTTCTTTCCTCCCCTAGGTAAGGTACCTAGGTACTAATCTAACTGAACAAAGTCCGACAACTCTTCGCCCATCTACAGAAGACCCCGATATAGTTGCCGCCAGCCAGCTTCGCCCTATTTGATGCCTAACACTTTGCTTTCTAAACGGTTCAAAGATTTGCATGTTCAACCGTAAGGTAGTCATCTATCAATGTATTTCGGCGGAATTGACTTTATGCCGAATAAAAATACCCAGCTCAACGTCGGCGAACCCACGCTTTTGCCGTAAACTTCCTCCCACTCTTGTGGGCACATCCAATACATCATAATCTTCCGTCCAATAAAATCCTCCCCTCCACCCTCGATGTAAGTCCACGCACATGATATGACATCCATGGCACGATAACAAAGTCCCGGCCTCAAATCATTCAGCCCCCAGATCGTCTTGGAGGTACTGTTAGGTCTTGAACTTGGCGTGAGTCTATGGCAGAGTGAAAAAATAACAGAAAGCTTCGACATGTCGAGTATTTGATTCTTGGTGGTATGAACTAAAAAGGAGAAAATAAAAAAGAGGCCCACTCCTACGCTCCCCTCAAGAAACCTGGGTTGGACGCCTAACGTATGGTTATCCTGATCGGCCGTCCATTCGCTCCCACCAAATAGTCATCTCCTCTCTGGTATAAGTTAATGGGATATTCTTTTTTACCTCAAGTCGAAATGCGCCCTCGACCTTCGCCAGCACAAGGCGAAACGCCACTAGGAGATGCATCGTTAAGAAGAGACATGTAAGTATACTGTATCTCGCCAGCGTTCCCCTCTATATTTTACCCCTCCCTCCTTTTCGGACTCGTGATGCCAAGTCTCATACTCAGTTCCATTTGAACTGATGCGTGCATCTCCAGCCATGGGTCTTCGCCCTGTTTCTCCTAGACCCCATTTGTGTGAGGGCTTTGTGGCTCAGCGTCGCTCCTATTCTGTTGTGTCGCTTCTGAGTTCCCTTGCTGGTTGTTTTGGTCGTTGATCAGCTTCTCCATGAAGGAGATGTAGTCGTACTGTGGCATTCCTCTATCCTCCGACATGTCTGGTCCACTGTGAGGCGGCATGATCTCGATAAGTTGGTCAATCACTTCGTCGGGCACCAAGCTGTGTCGTAAATCCATCTCTGTCACGTATGGTTTGCCGTCAGCCACCTCGCGGAACGACTGGAAGACTTGTTCTGCCGTGTTCTGATCTTCTGTCACATCCACCATGAACCGGATAAACTGTTCAAACGTTACGTAGTCGCGCCCACCAGATGTTTCGAGAAAGTATTCGTGCATTTCATCCTCGGAGAACACAAGCCCCAGTGACGCAAGTGCCGCGCTGAATTCGAGTTCCTGTAAAGAGTTTGTATCGTCACGATCGAAGTGACGAAAAACACTCTCAAACTCTTCCAGCTGGATAGGAGTCAGGTTTGTCATACTTCGTGCTACCATCTGGTTCTCCAAAAACGCAAGTTTCTTCTGCACTGAAGTTTTAACAAGACCAAGCTCGTATGAGAGTTCGTCGTATGTGTAGGTAGTAAAGTCGTTTTCCTCAATATTGGCCTCTTGGCACTTCTGATCCAGCTCTGAAATTTTGTCCAAGTATTGGTCTAAGGGAGAAAGGCTCTCACTCAGCTTCCTTACATGGTGCAATTGGTCTTCCACGTCACCGTCAAGGCCAGAGATGGCCAACTGCATGGTATTGAGAGCCATTGCGAAATCATTTGCCTTGTCAGCAAAGGATTTGCGGAGGGCGTTTTTGATACTATAATCATGTTAATGGAAGAAAAGAAGGAGGGGACATCTATTGAAAGAGTCGACTTACTCTCGGATCGTCTCGTTTATTAGCTGGGCACGTGTCATCTCATTTGATGCTAACTCTGCCCACTGTCTCTCGAGGGCATCCAGGCTCAACTCCGCGGGTGGATCGTATGGCCGGAGGCGATAAGTTCCCAATTTGGTCTTGATGTTTCCGAGCAACGTTGCGAGGTCGCTCTTCTCGGCGACCCATTGTCTTTTTTTACCCTTTTTATACTCAAAGAACTGGTTTGATTGAGCTTTGGCATCGGTGTATGTTCCTTCGAAAGTAGCTTGCTTCCACACCTCGATCTGCTCTTGAATGGCTTGTAGGAGCGCCCGCATCCGTCTTTCGTAGGCACTTTGCATCTCCCAAGCCCCTTGCATGTTGTTGACAAACTTTTCAACGCGACGTCCAGCGTTCTCGACCTTTTCCATTTGCGAGAATGCATGAAACCAATATGCAATATAAGTCATCAGAGATCGTTCATCGGGCTTGGCCACATCGCACACATCTTCCACATCAAGCAGCTTAGGAATACCAATCTCCTTATGTGCGATATCGAATGCTAGTTGCATGTTGCCTCGATGATCCTTCTTGTCCAGGGCGTCATAGTCGATGAGGTCGGGTCGGTGGATATCCAATAGAGCACAGAACGCCAGACCATCGTTCCAGCTGGCGCTAAAGTCTCGCACCTCGACCTCGTCATAACACGCCGTCTTCCGTTGACACCACAGCAGGAGGCCCTCCTTTGCTGACATGCCCTCCTCGTTAATATCACTGATGGTAAATCGAAGAATCAAGGTCCAGATGAGACCAAGAACAATCTTTTGGTTGCCATCAACCACATCCTCAGCGCCGATGTTGGTCATCTGAATACCCCTGGATTTAACGAAGTCGAGTGCCAGGTTCGCATTCTCGAATTTTTGTACTCGAAGCTTGGGTTTTGAGGCATAACGGCCGAGCGATTCGTGTGAAAGACATTCGAGGAGATGAATCAGCATGACCTATGCATAGAGGTCAGTGACAGTCAGGGCAAATTCTACAGAAAGTACACTTACACCATCGCTAAGATCTTTTACGAGGTCTTTAACCTCAAGGTTTCGAGCCTCGATCTTCGTGTTGAGCCTGGAAATAAGATGTGAGCATACTGCAGGCCAGGAATTCAAGACATAGATACCATTTTGTGAATGTCTTCTGTTGGACCGTAACCCATCTTTGCTGCTCTGCAAAAGCCATTCTCGTTAACCTTTGGTCATGCGGAGGCTCAACAGCAGCAAGAGCGTCTGCAGGATTAGATGCGCTGGGCGGGAACCTTCGCGAATTGGTTGACTGTTTCCTTTTCTGAAGGCCTAGAAGAAATGCTGTATCTGTAGTTTTGCTGCCTGACCGCTGCACTCGAGCCGCATGCAGCTGTAACTTGTCCCGCCTCGTGCGCGGGGTCGGTGAAGATGGTGTCGAGTATGAGAGCGAACAAGAATTATGTGTGAGTGTTCGATGACGGGCGATGAATCCAGTTACAGGCGAGGAGAGTCTGTTAGACAAAGAGCGAGGAGAGTGTGGGGAGGCCTCGAATACGGAAATTGGGGTAATAGGAAGTGACTCGAATGAAGCGGTAGATATCCTTGAGGATGAAGATGAAGCCGAGGCCGAGACGGTGGAGATGTACGATAAGCGAGATGACGCCGATATTGAAGCAGATGGAGAATTGTGGAAATGTTGATGATTCTGATTACAATTGCTGTTGTTGTTGATGCTGAGATCTGTGTGGTAGGCGTAGTAGTCCTCTTTGTTCTCTTGGTAGCGCTGCTGCTGGTTGCAGTCGCAGTCATCGCTGGATTGGGCATCCGCGTGTAAACAAAAATTGGGGAACTTCTCGTTGCCCTCCACGTTGCCGGGTTGCAGTGGAAGCATCCCCTGAAAGGCTTGGGCGGAAACCTTCGTAACGTCCATTTTTAGCTGTTTTTCAGCGTTTGCTAAGAGCGGCTAACGTTAGGTAGTTAATGGATCCAGCTGTTGATGGACCGGGGTTTTATCGATTTGAATTGATGTTGAATATCCGTTCCCTGCAAGAAATTTCGACCTGAAATTTTATATGGCCACACGGTAACTAAAAAGATAGGGAATTAGCTATAAATAAGCTACACATCCAAATGGTGAGGCGGTCACCACATTTATACATGGGCGTTGGGTTCTATCAGTTGACCCCAAGTGCATCCTACACCTCCTCGCATAAAAACGTACCGTGGATTTCCCCTGAATACATCCTCGAGACACTGCACAGCGTGATATAAATAGACTTGGGACTACTTTAATATACTGTATTTTTTTGGCCTTCTCCTTTTGTTTGTTGGTTCATTTGAAACTACCTAGTAGTTACATAGGTACATAAGTAAGTACTGTAAGCAGTTGGATTTAGAGTGCCCGTTCATTTTGACAGGTAAGTAAGGTATAGTAGGGTGGATGCCCTGGACCCTGCGCGAGGAACGAAACACTGGGGCCGATCAACCGGCTGTAAATCCCGATGCATGGCGTTGGGCTGTCTCAACTGCCTACCTATCATTGGGGTAGGCCAAACTAATAAGCTTCAAATGCGTATACAGAGTGAATGGCCAGGCAAACGGTTAGTAATTAACGTCTTGTGAAACCTTCTGTGAAACCCTGGGTAATTTCATGCAACCAGCTTAGTGCATACATTATATTGGTAGTTGAGTAAGTTGATAGTTGCTGCTTCAACCGAGTTTGAACCAGGAACTGGCAACATTATCTAGCGCTTTACATGAATCGAAGAGTCAGAGCAAATTGAATAATCATATATCATTTTGACGATAACATTCTACGTCTTCTACAAGGCCCATCGTATTCGAACGCCTTATAGCACCTATAGGGATTCAGACAAATAATAAGTGTAACATGGTTCACATAAATAATTAACATCAGACGAGACCTGTTTCGATCTTCCACACTTACACAAACTCGCATGAACATATATTGTAACGCTCAAATAATAAGATATCAAGAGAAGTCCGTCATTTCATTGGACGAAAACCTCCCAGCTTCTATCAATAATTGGCTGCGATTTTGTTTGCGATGAAACATAGTTATACCCTGACCCTGTACAATATAGACAGATCGTCAAGAATAGGCTACTATTAACGAGCGATAATATGAATAGCCTTTGGGATTCGTCATGGCTTGGAATATGTACAAAAAGCCATGTGTTTGGCGACCTGGCTATCGAAACAACAGTCTAATCAAGATCTGACGCTAGAGTCGTAGCTACAGGTTTCTATGCTATTATGATACACCTGTCAACATTAGTGAAGACCATCATTTCATCATTTGTTTGCTGGCATAATAAAAGTAGATTTGAGCAAACGATTTTATGTCTCAATAAGTTCTTACACACAATATATCATACAACCACATTCCGTGCACCCTTTCGCCTATTTCTTCTTCTGTCCAAGAATCTTGGCATGCTGTCTTCCAGAAGGTTTTCCAGACTGAGTTGCTCGTGAGCGTAGAGTATATCTCTCCTTCTTCCATGCAAACACCATTTGATCCACACTGCCCATGTCGTGCTTGGGCTTCCGCATGTACGTGAGGCGTGCTCGTCGTGCCCTCTTGGGCCGTCGCCAGATAATATCGATACCCGTCACAGTCGGGCTGTAGATCTTGAACCACATCTCCACACCAACCTTCATCATCTGTCCACGCAGTTGGATCGCTGTATCCTGGCCTCGGCGTCGAATTTGTAGGAAAGCGCCGGCAAAGGGCTCCCCACCCTTTGTCGTCACCATCAGAACGTCGCCGACCTTAGCGCTGTCGGCGTGCTCTCTTGAGAACAATCGTGTGCGTGCGCCAGTCGGATCGAGTTTCGCGAGTTGCTTTTGCAGAAGTGCAGGCATAGGATCGGGGTGGGTGGTACGAATACTCGGGACCCGAGGATAGATATGAAATTTGCTAACCTTCGCGAGATCCGCCCCTGGTCTTAATATCAGCGATGTTGTTTTTGCAATATTGCGGATCAAAGATACATACGTTGTTCAGCGCTGAAGGCGTTCGGTATCGACTTGGCCACAGGCTCAACGGCTGCTGAAGAAACCCTCCTTTCGAAAGTCCTCAGGAGTCTTACCCGTCTAAAAGAAGATTTGAGACAGCCAACTGGCCGTCCCACGACGGTGACGTTCATCGTAAATTGAACTATTGCGATTATACAAGTAGTTGAGGTTGAGACAGGCGCTGGAATTTCTGGAGCTACTCGCAATACTTCCAATTCTCCTTGCTGATTGGCTCGGCTTACAGTTCATCCGGTGCCTTTTTCCATGGGACGCAGAATAGGTAGGTACCTTCCTATGAACCTTCCTACTACCTTACGATTTAGTAGGCATTGCCCAAGCTTTGAAACCTCAAAAAGTTATCACAGCACTGTGGGACAGTCAGCACAATGCTGAACAGATCCTTGAATTTGGGCTTCAGGCCTGTGGCCAACCCGTGGACATCCCTGGCACTGCGTGGTATCCAGTACAGATGCTTCAGTATATCTTCTGCACGCAGTAAGTGAAAAAAAAAAAAAGAGTGCAACACTTAGAATACAGGAAGTTGACAATCGACAAGGTTTTAGTGCTGTGTTCGCCGAGACCAAAAATCCTCAGTTGAACGAAATTCTCACAGAGATTCAAGAGAAGATCATTCTCCCTGCCCACCTACCAGAGAAAGCGAGGAAGCTCGTTTTCAATCCCAAGAAGAGCGACTACATCCAGCGAAATCCCGTCACCATCGAAGTCGATGGGCTCGAGCACACTTTCAAGACTATTGATCGATTCCACGATGTCCCAAACTCGATGAAGGCTTTTGCAGAGGCAACAAAGCTCATGAAAACCAAGGAGGAATGGGATAACATAAGCACCCTGCTTGCCGGCTATAAGAAAGCTGGAATTAAACTCAAACGCTGGCATGCCGACGCTGTGACACGACGTGCAGGCCATGATAGGCAGCCGTATGTGGTCATTGAATGCGCTCAGCAAGTTGAAAAGACAGGACTAAGTCTACAGCGCGACAGTACTGTCATCCTGCTGTTGGGATCCATTAACCGTAAGATCATATCCCCGAAAGGAGAGCAGAGCGAGACTCAACAGGCTCTGAAGTGGAATAAAATGGTCTGGGATATCATTCAGCGCCCTGAGCATCTTGCTAAGAACACACCTCCTCGCCGTCAGCCTCATATGAACCCCATTATTCGGGGTATGATTCTCTTCTCCCAAGCATCTGCAGTCAAGGAGCAGCAGGCAGCCGGAGCTCCTGTGAACGATCTGATCCGAGAGCTTCGAGACAATGTTGAGTTTATCACCAGCGCATGGGCTGAACGAGAATCCGATGACTTAACAAGCTCGCCCTATCTGAATTCTATCAACAGCCGAGTCAAGCCCAACAGCGACAACTACGTACGCGAAAGGCAACACATTTCTCCTTTCAACTACATTTGGGCTATTGCCCAGAACATAAGGGCGATAGAACTAGCACAGGACATCATCGGTCAAGATGCCAAAGACCTGCAGCCTGTCCACGATCTAATGGAAAAACACATCGAAGAGTTTGTGATGATGAGCCCGGATAATAACTCCTTCGGCTGGGACATGGCGTATGAAAGAGTCACAGGCCGACAGCCCAGCTGGAAACAACATTTGCCTGCTGCGCCCCGCCCTAGGAACGATGTAGAGGATAACTAGACACAAATATTCATGCACTTTGAGAAGACCTGGAGTCTACATGTGGACAATCTGTCACGGATAGCGGGGGATTATCATGTAATATATTTGTAACAACGAGATTCTTTTTATATGGGATGCCTCTTTCTAAGGCAAAACGATGTACTTCTCCAGGTGGCTGGGAATAGCGCCCAGCAGCTTCTTGTCTGTCAACCATTTTCGCGAGAACAGTCGATCAGCGTATCTGTAAGCCCCATCGCAGAGGACAGTGACAACGGTATGACCTTTGCCCAGCTTCTCAGCGACCTCCTTGGCAGCTACAACGTTGAGAGAGGAGCTGGCACCGAGGTACAACCCCTCCTCATCCAAGCATCGGTAGACCATTTCGATGCTCTTCTCGTCTGAGATGTGCAGCGAACCGTCCACCAGGCCAATATCAGGCTGGAGATTGTCGGTAATACGACCTTGTCCAATACCCTCGGTGATGCTGGAACCCGTGCGCTCGGTAAGCTTGCCGCCCGAGGACACATAAGAATGCAGCACACTGCCAGGAGGGTCGGCAAGGAAGCTCTTGACCCGGCCATCAGAGACGTCCTTCAGATACCTTGTGATGCCGGCTAGGGTACCAGCGGTGCCAGTAGCGCACGTGAAAGCGTCAACCTTACCATCTGTCTGCGCCCAGATCTCAGGACCGGTCGTCTCGATATGTGCACGGCGATTGGCTGTGTTGTCGAATTGGTTTGTCCAAACAGCATTGTCAAGTCGCTCAGCGTGTCGACGGGCCTGGTGGTTGTAGTTCTCGGGATTATCGAACGCGACAGCAGGGACCGGGTAGACCTCAGCGCCGAGGAGCCGCAAAAGATCGATCTTGCCCTGAGACTGGGTGTTTGGCATGTATATAACGAGCTTATAGCCGCGCGAACGGCAGACGTGAGCGAGACCGATTCCGGTGTTTCCTGCAGTCCCTTCGACAACAGTGCCTCCAGGTTTGAGGAGACCGCGCTCCTCGGCGTCCTTAACAACGTACAGCGCCGCGCGGTCCTTGACGGAACCACCAGGGTTCATGAACTCTGCCTTGCCGAGGATCTCACAGCCAGTCTCCTCGGAGAGGTGGTTCAGACGGATGAGAGGGGTATTTCCAATAGCTATTGTAGGTCAGATTCCCTTTCAAGGACCAGGATCATATTGATGATAGGCGCACCTCCTGTCAAACCTCTGGAGACACCTTGAGCTCGAGACACACTGAGGGTATGAGAGCTGGGAGCTGCCGCAGCTTTGGCCGCAGCAGCTGCAAGCCGCCTAACGCTGGGACGGAACATGATTCAGTGTGACGTGGGCACGTGGCGCGATCTTGAACAGATCAATTGACAGTCACCAGGTCCGGGTTTTGCTACAAAAGGAATAAGTTGAGCTTATAAAAGAGATGAAAGGGAAATGTATTTGGATGGTGGGGCCGCAATCGGCAATGGCGCAATCCCGGGCTGTCGGTGTCGGATGACCAACTCCCGCACCGACTTCCATACGGCTTGAAGCCTGAATACCAACAAATCGCTAACGCAGCCATCATATAAATAAATACGTATTAGATTATTGCGTGTCTGTCACGGCGTTGTCAGCTCTTGCATTCTTAGGCATCCTGTTCTAACCGCACATATGGCGCTGGGAACAAGCCCCGAGTACCCATATATGCTCCAAAAAACCATTCTCCGTTCACATCCTCAATCTCTTTGATCTCCGCTCCTTTTGGGAAGAGAAGCTCGTCGTCAGCTCCCGGTCTGGGGTACCATCCAAACCTCGCAGTTGCCTTCAGTCCGACTCCGCCATCAGGTGGTAAGCTCTTTGCGAAACCGCTCTCACTCGGCGCCGTTTCTGACACGTCTTTGGTGACAAGCCGGGCGAGATCTTGACCATTTTCGTGCCAAACCCATTTCTGAAGTCCTTTCTCGCGGTGTTCTGACTTTTCAGCCGCCTCTGGCTTTAGTCCTTGACCTCCTACCAAATCCTGGGCTATATATCTCCATCGCCCACTCTTCCCATCCGTAAATGCGATGACTACCATTCTATGCCCGTTAAGGCATCTCCTCCAACCCGAATGGCCATTTTCAGGGCTAATTTGTCTTTGTATAATCAAGTTCCCATAACATGAAGAACATATATCGTAATCACCTGGTGCAGCATCTGATACCAAAGAGCTTGTGCACTGATAGCAGTGGTATCGTGCTTGATTCGGTTGGATGGGCTCCTGACACAAGTCGCATCTTGTGGTGAATGACAAGTACTCGAATGGTTTGATGCTGGATGCATTAGGGCCTTTAAATATTGTTGCTGCCGTGGGTCGACCGGGCGATCTGGGAGGACTTCCAGCCCTGTGCTGATTAGACTGGGTGGCTTCGTGAGCCATTGGAAGTAAGGGATGCGTGCATGATCTTCCCTGATTTACACAGTCGTTGCAAAAACCCCAGTCGCCCTCGTTACATATATCGCACCGCCAATAGCACTCGTTCGTCCAAGCAGAGCATTTGGCACAGAAAGTACCGCTTTCCAAACGATGTCGAGGATCGTCCGTTGTTAGTGTTTTTCGTCCGTCTGCCCCGCCAGGAGATGAGCGGGGAGGACGGTAACGGAGAGCGGTCAGTGTATGTGGCTGTGGTAGTGAAGCATCCCCTTTCTGCTGACGCATCTTTTCCCATTTTGAAAAAGCACCATGGCCGAACCCAAACCAGTGATGACAGCCTTTGCCAGCCCGATAACAGTTGAGGCATACATTCCACTGTCCATTGGCGCAAATGGAGCAATTGTAATGGAGCTCATATTCAATGTGCTGTTTGTTGCATCGTGAGCAGGTGACTGAAGGTTCCGGGTAGAGCTGGGACCTAGTCCTCTGGTGTCCAGAGACAGTGGGACTACTAATCGGGCTGGTCACAGTCTGATGAACAATGGCCAGATCAACCGGACGAGGTCTGTTTGCCCGACCGGCTGTTGCATCATGATGGGAGAATAGAGGAAGGACAGATGCACTTTGAGAGGTTCCTTGACGAATAGCAAACGACATATTCCCGGTATTGTTGCTGAATGAAGCCGCTTCTGTTGGGTTGGGAAACGGCACGGTGTGGATGGGCGTGCTGGTGCTGCGTCCCTCGCTGAAGCTAGGTCGGGACTGTGTTATATCGGAAGCCTGTGGCCTCGATCCCAGGTCCGTAGAGGACCGGGCAGCAGGCCTAGGCTCAGCAGTGGTCGGAAATACTGGAGTGGTAGAGCTTCGACCTCCGCTAGCAGTCCGTCTCCTAGGCCTTCGGACTGGCTCCTGGACTTCTAAGTTTGCTGAGGTCGTAGAGGTTGGGGGACGACTCCGTTCCTCTGTCTGACTCGCAGCACTGGCAGCACTTGTAGCGCTAGCAGACCGAGAATGTGGTCGAGATCTTTCTCTTGGTCGACCTCCTTCTGGGGCCAACATGCGAGGATCCCCAGCTGCTGTATTCTCGGCATATCGTGTCAATGGAGGATAGTTATTTCCATTGTTCCTCCTCGTTTCTTGGCGTGTTCGATCCCTCTGACGGCGCCTGTATGCTTCAGTGATCCTCCTGCTGAGCTCGTCGTCGCGACTCAAATCGATGTTGTCCAAATCAAGCCCGTCGAGGAGACCTTCTTCCTTGATCTGTCTGGCAAAGGACTCTATTTCTCGTTCGATATCCCTCTCACTCATATCTCCCGAGCTGATTAGTGACCGAATCGATGACTGGTGCTCAATCTGGCGCTGCCTCGACTCGCTTCGTCGACGTCGTCGCTCGCCTTCGACATGGAGTTGATCAGAGCTATGCCGACCTCCCTCGTCAACTCGTGGGCGACGGCTTCCTCGTGGTTGATGGCGGCTATCGACGCTTCTATCTCTACCTCGGTCCCTTTCCCTATCTCTGCTTGTCCTTCTGTTGTCTGCGGATCGACTCTCACGCCTCCGCCGTGTCCTTGGTGGCCCCGAAGATACTCCCGCCTCCTGTAAACTCAGTTCTCGAACCTCCTCCATCAACCTTCTGTCTTCAGCGTCGATGCGCCGCTCATCCGCTGTTCGATGTGTATTTATCGTTGGAAGGACTTGGTCGCCGGGTTTATACTTCTTTGCCATCTCTTCCTTCTCTGCTGCTGAACGATCCTTGCCTGGGCTTGCTGCTATAAACATATCCAAGAGAGTGACGACGGTCGCATTATGTTGGGTCGTTCGTACAGTAGCCCGACATGACGGGCATGTAAAAATGTTGGTACCGGGAACAGGCGGGTTTGGGGCCCGCTCGGCCGTCGCAGCCTGGAAAGTGAACCATTCCTTCAGACAGGCACCGCAAAAGGTATGAAGGCAATCAAGAAGAGTCAAAGGTTGGTATAGGAGCTCCGTGCAGATCTACAGACAAGGTCAGACTTTGGAGACAAAAAGGCGGGGAGATTTACAGAGCACGTCAGCTCCTTTTCCAAGTCCAAGCCAGCGTTCGTGGGCTCCATTCATGATATTTGGTTAATCCCGGCCCATGATTGGGATGAAAATAGCATGCGTGTGAAGAAACAAGGTTGCGCCGAAGAGAATATGTTGGCTGAAGGTAAAGGGATCACTGATGTTGGTTTGTTGGCTAGGTAGGAAAGCTACGATCCATCCAATACGCCAGCTACCTGTACTATGTTACTAACTACTAGGTAACCTTGCCTTACTCCTATGCCTTAGTTAGTACCTAGGTAGTGACCTCCATCAGGTGCCTGTCCCTGTCTGCCTGTCTAGCCTGTTAGGGTGGCGGGGTCGGTCAAGGCGTTAAGACTCTCTGCCAGGGATTACCAGAAATAGCTGTTCACGACAACACACCGTTTTGGTACAGGCTGTATCTAGAGATATGTTGGCTGTTGGGCCACAGCATACCGTAAAAGGGGAAGAAAAATCTGCAAATGAGGGCGAGCATACATGTATAGGTGCTTGCGGGGGTATTTTAAGACATCCACGGATCCATTGGATTGTTACATTATCATCGCACAAAGCTGTCCCGAACCTTTCCTGCATTGCAACCCCATGTGAACTTGCGAATGTTCTTCTAATGTATTCTTTCTCTTGTATAGTCGGCTCAAGTATGTCCCGTACCGCAAATTACGGCCAGCTCCCTAGGCAACTGGTATCTGTACCTGTGAACAACTATCTCAATCTCACACTTGTTAGTAAACAGATGGACGTCGTGGCGGTTTTCATATCTACAGTAGCTCCTGCATTCATATTTTTTATATAATGGCCGCAAAGGCACATTGTTAAATTACATATAGCGTTTATGAGTGGCTCCACTCAGCCTTCTTTTTTTCTGCGAATGCCTTCATGCCAATCTTCTGATCTTGACTACCAAACAAGCTGTGGAAGACCCGCCTCTCATACTCGACACCGTCACGTAGAGCCAGATCCTGGCTCTTGTTAACAACCTCCTTGGCGGCTTGAACAGCCACCTTGGAGTAGCCAGCAATGGTCTCGGCTGTCTTGAGCGTCTCCTCCATCAGAGCCTCATGCGTGGGAAAGACCCTGGCAGCTAGTCCCCATTTCTCGGCATCGACACCAGAAAGCGACTTTCCGGTCAGAATGAGTTCCATTGCCTTTGACTTGCCGATGGCACGAGTAAGGCGCTGGCTACCACCAGCTCCAGGAACAGTCCCGAGCTTGATCTCTGGTTGGCCGAAGTTCGCATTCTCTGTACAATAGATGAGATCACACATCATGGCGAGCTCGCAGCCTCCACCAAGGGCATGCCCTGAGACTGCAGCGATAATTGGCTTTTTCACCTGAGTGGTGAGATCTGACCAGGACTCGATGAAGGACTTGGTGTAAGCTTCGGCGAAGGTAAGAGGGGCCATCTCCTTGATATCAGCACCAGCTGCAAACGCCTTTTGGGAGCCGGTTAGAATGATGACTGACGTATCGTCGGCCACATTGAATTCAAGAAGAGCCTGGTTAAGCTCTTTGATAAGGGGCGTGCACAGGGCGTTGAGGGCCTTAGGACGGTTCAAGGTAACTAAGTAATCATCGTCAGATACTGTTTGATATACCAACCCGAGAGATTGCATTGTTTCAGTATCATTCATACCTTGTCCAACACCGGGCTTGGGTTGAGAAACCTGGATATACTCATAAGTCCCCGAGCTGTAAGCTCGAGCAACGCGAGGAAGAGTAGGCTTTTGGAAGGCCACCCGACCTGCCACTGGTCTCATGCAGCGGAAAGCGTTCATTGTGATACTAGAGAATGGATATAATGAGAAAGAGAGTGAACGATCAATATTGTGATGTAAGCCCGTTATCTGTTGGTTCCACAACTGAAGGAGTTGGTACGGTTACTATTGTATAAGTTAAGAATCTGATCAGTGAGGAGCTATAAGTATTGGGTCTGCACTGTTAACCGGGGAGCTTAATAGTAAGCTACCCCAGTGACGCAACAGAGCCGAGGATAACATGGGCCGCCCATACCCATGACAAAGCCGACAGCCAGATTTATGTTTGAGCGTCACGTGAGAGGTCGATCTAAGCTCCTTGACAACTCGTGGTTACAAGTAAGATGGGAACTCCTCCAGTTGATAGTCTCTTCCACAAATAGTCTACTGATGATACAACGGAGGTAGTGGCCAAGCCACGCCCTGCAAGTTCCTTGTTCGCTAATGGCAGTTAGAGGCGCAACCGGAATGATATTGCCTTCGGTAAGTATCGAGGTACAGTACCTAGGTACGGAGTAGAATAAAGCATAAATCGCAGCTTTAGATAGATCTGTCATCCAGGTAGCGATGATGAGCTCATAAATTAAACTGTGCCTCTGTGCAGAATACCTAGGTAGGTAGTAGATACCTAAGCAATATGGTGTTGAACCTCTCCTCCGTACTCCTGTCTGTATCCGTACGCTGAATACATACAGCATGAGCTTTCTTACAGGGGTAGGCAACTCGACGCGACGCGGTGATAGATGATTAGAGACTGCGCCACATTTGCATGTGGGGTCAAGGGGCTCTCTCTTCTCAGATCGCTCACCAGCAATCCGGCTGAATCACCAATAAGATCATAGGCTAACTACCAGTTTCAGGGAGGCCACCAAACAAAACTGCCTGTCAACGGTTTGTCAAGTCCTCCTTTCTCCGGTAAAGGACCGGGGAATTGACTAGCCTTGCCTAGGTACCAAAAGCTTAACAAACCTTACGTGGCTGCATCGCCAAAAGTCCAAAGTTGGAAGTCCTGACCCCCCAATCGCAAATTCGCCATCACTTCTTTTTTTCTCTTCCCGTCAACTTCGGCCTTTGTCACGGCATCGTACTCATTGTTCCACACAATTGCACTTGATTATTCCATTCGAATAATTTGCGCCCCCTCCCCATTATATATCCCGATTGACAACGGTCGATCGATCCTCTTCACAAGATGAATGCGCCAGAGCCTGAGCAGACCCCTTTCGAGGCTGTCAGCGTCCATACCTCGAGGCTTCAGCGAGTATGTCCCTCGAAATAGACTGTTATGCATTGCGACCCTCTGACACCGGATTAGAAATACCAAGCTTTGCTGGACCAGTCGACCCCTTTCGTCCTCTACCGATGGGTCGGTACTGTTGTCTGCCTTCTCTTCTTCTTTCTTCGAATCCTCCTTGCGCAAGGCTGGTATATCGGTAGGCTCGAACCTGCAAATCACACTCCTGGATCATCTTACTTACAACTGCGTAGTTGCCTATGCGCTCGGTATCTATCTTTTAAACCTGTTTCTGGCTTTCCTGCAGCCCAAGTTCGACCCCTCCAACGAAGAGGCCGACAACGAGATGGAAGACGGCTCTGTGGGCACTCTTCCCACCAAGCAGGACGAGGAATTCAAGCCCTTCATTCGCCGACTTCCTGAGTTCAAGTTCTGGTACTGGGCCACCCGAGCTATCATCATCAGCTTCTTCTGCAGTTGGTTCGAGATCTTTAACGTGCCAGTTTTCTGGCCCGTTCTGGTCATGTACTGGTTCATCCTCTTCTTCCTGACTAGTAAGTTCTTTATGACATAGACAAAATTCTCTATATTAATTGTTTCTAGTGCGCAAGCAAATTCAGCACATGATCAAGTACCGCTACGTACCCTTTACTGTCGGTAAGAAGAACTACGCCAAGAACAACTCGTAAACAGACGCCACTTTCGGGATAATTTTCTTCAGCACAGCGGGCATCTCCGCTGAACGAGTGCCCGTGTGCGTTGTATAAACAAGACGGCCAGCTTTATTAAGCGACACAATAATGCGATGCGTGTTCCGGGGTGTGTATTTCAATTACGAGGGGAAATTGACTGGTGACAACTCACATAGGGGATTGGCAATAAAGAAGGGAACTTGGGTCGTGTGATACAAACGAACCTTAGCTATAGACTTGGACGGATCTGGGGGCCATGACAACCAGAGCAGATGAATTATTTAATGAAAATGACCATCATATGAATAACAGAAACAGAGTATGACCGAGCTCTTCAGTATAACGCTTTGTGCAGATTGATCGTGGCATTATGGCTAAACTAATTTAGGTGAGAACATGTTAAGGATGTTTGTCCTCCCCAAAAAACCGGTTTTCTGCGTTATTATTCTTTTTCTGGGTTTCGTTGCTGTCTACTGTATTTTGGTAAGTTTCATGAGGAAGCCTTAATTAGTGGCTACGCCAAACGTGGAGCTTGGACAAGGCCAGCCTCGCGCCGCAATTCTGATCCAATATCTTTGACCTCGAAACTCAGCCGCGCTCGCGCTTAAGCTTCTCCATCAAGCCAAACTCACAAGGATCGCGCGCCCACACCCTTCAAATACATCACGACTTCACACGCTCACCAAAGTCTTCCTCGGCGCACCTTGTCAGTTCGACCAGCATGTCATCTTCTGCTCCTCGCACAGGCGAGCGCATGGTTCACCAGGACTTCATCGCACGCATCCGATTCTCCAATGCGCTCCCTCCACCACCCCATCCTCCTAAGCTGCTCGACATACCTAATACCGGCCTTGCTAGCGGTCAATATACGACGCCGGGCTTTGCTTCGCGCCTTGCAAGGGAGCAGCCGCTCAATATTGAGGCAGATGCTGAACTGGGAATGCCCCTTGACTTGGTCGGCATGCCTGGTGTTTTCGATGGCGACGAACGATGTAGGTTGGCTGTTCATCGTGTTTTGACCTCACAAAGCTGACGCCTCCCCAGCTATTCAGGCCCCTCCTCATCCACCCGCTCTTCATCCTCATGATCGACCCCTTCTAAGACCCATCGCCGCTCTGGGAAAACACAAGGTCGCAGAAGCCAATGTTTCCTTCCTTCGCCGGACAGAATACATATCTTCCACGGTCTCAAAGCGACAAGATGGTGCTGCACCCCGTGCTCTACTCACTAAAGCCAACAAGAATCGACGCATCCCGGAGCCTGCAGCCGATGCTCCTCACGTCATTAAGCGAAAGATTGACAAGGGCTTCGATATTGCTGAGCAGGAATTCAAAGACCCCAAACGCGCCAAACACCCAAGCAAAAGAAATCTCAAGGTTGTCGATGTGTCGCCTTTCATCCCAGATCTTGAGGCTTTCCCCGACTCGGGCGCGTACGTTACGATCAAATTTCACCAGAACCCTGTGGTCAGCACCAAGGATTATGACAGACGTCTCCTCAGTGGTTTGTTCCGGCCCATTGATCGGACCGCCGAGGAGGAGGAGGCGTACGAGGCAGCTGTGGCAGCTCACGAGCAAGATCCTGAAAACAACCCCAAGCCTCAGAACTGGATGAATTTTGACTATTACTTGGCGGCAACTCCTGACGTGGGGGATCGTTTCCGTCGCAAGTTCGATGTCGAGGATGCCGACCACAACGAGGACGAACTCTACACTCATGACTCCGTCAATGGCGGATGCTTCCAATACAACCGGCTCAGAGCGTACGAGACAGCTCAGGAGACCAATTACGACCATGAGACCAAGTTCGACGCAGAAGTTCTCCTGGCTTACAACGAAGACACTTTCTATCCCAACCAGAAGGCCGTATACTACTATCCTGTTATGCAAAAATCTGTGATTCGACCCCAGCGAACAAAGAACATTGCGCGAAACATTGGTATTACCGATGAGGAGCAAGTTGTTGACCAGCTCGACGTCACCGTCGAAGATCCAAGAGAGGATATCCGCGACATGATCAAGACACATCGCGATCACCCCCTCGGCACTGGACAGGCCGATGAGGAAGAAGGAAATGAGGAGGAGCACCACGACGGCCAGGATGCTGAAGGCGAGGAAGAAGGAGAACACCACAGTCCAGCAGCCCGTCGTTCGAGGTCGGCCTCTGAAGAACATGATGCGGAAGGAGAAGACGAGGAGTAAACCGTATTTGGTCGTGATGCATATAGCTAAGACGAAAGCGGTGTGCTCTTCAGCAAGTGGGAACAAAAGCATATGTCCTTCATGCGACATTTGCCTCGAGATGATTGAGAGTTGCGAGGACAGAAATGGCATGTATTTGGCGAACAAGGGCATCTTGGCGTACAGTTTGCAATTTTTAATCATAGATCTGAGGCGTAATAAAATTGTACCATATTCAAAATAATATACACAGGTATGATTCCCTCACTCACTCCTTTGAAACACCAGTGCCTGTGGTGGTAATATGAACCTTGATGCCGTTTCCAGTGGTATAAGTGCCTTTTGCTATGCTCCAAACCCATATGCGTATATGTCATTCACGCAGCCTATCCATTCATTCATTCATCAACTCTCAACCTTTGGTAGCTTCATATTGGCGCTACGGCTATCATAACCAATTACTTCTCTCTTATCGTCTATCACTCGAGCATACCTGTGTCCTGTCAGCATCAAGATGGAAATGATCAAAGTATACGATACTATTGCACTTACTCGAGCATGAGGCGGAAGAACCATGCTTCCATGTCAACCTGACGGAGAGCCTGGTTGGCCCATTCTCGACTAGCAGCCGCAATACGCTCGCCTTCTTCACGGCCAGCTCCCTCGCTGTCAAGGAATCGAACTGTCTCAAGCCAGTCATCTCCCTGAATACTCAGAGGCACATAGTGTGCCCACGGCTTGAGCCACTCAGCGTGCCACTCGCGGAATACCGCGAGTTTGAATGTGAGGCTGCGACTGCGAAGGAAGGCAGTGAAGCGACCGGAAAAGGCGTTTCCATCCATATCAAGGAGATATTTGTATGACCAAGCATCTTGCTGATCTGCAGCCTCGGTGACATTGAAAAAAGCCCGCTGCGCCTCGCAGTCACCTTGGTCACATTGTCCAATATGAGAGAAATGCACATCGATCATCTCGTTGTAGTCGCCGCGCGGGACCTCGCTGGTCGCCCAGGAACGGTCGTCCTGCTTAGTGAGGATATGAGCCTGGTCGCGCGCGTTAAGTTTCTGTACAAGACGTTGACGGTGCTGGTGTCTCCAACGGCCATTCCGGCTGTACCCTCCAGTGGTCGAGCCGCGCCAGTATAGCTTGCTCTCCTTCTTAACCCACTCCATGTCCATGTCCTCATCGTACTTTACCATGCCGGCCCAGTCCCAGGGAGACGGGTATACAAGGTCGCTGTAGGAAGAAATCTTTGACTGGGAGAATATGGGAAACAAATCCTGGACAATTCTATATGTATTGGGTCCACCGAAGAAGCCAAAGTTGGATTTGAGGCTGGGCGATAGGCAGATGTCTGACATGGCGGTCGTATTGTAAACAAAACCAAGATCACTCATGCCGTACCTATTTCTATAGTCCACAGCCTCTTCCTCCTCGAGACATCGAGCTGGAGTATCTGGCGGACACGACAGGCGAGAATGAGACCAGGTTGATTGATGGGCAAAAGAGTTGAAGCGTGTGAGACTTATCTCGTCGAAAGACTTTCCATCAAATAACTCCGAGTTCGTTTGAGTGAAGTCGTTGGCGAGTTGTGGTTTCGCTAACGCTGCGGGCATGTTCTGCTCTTTGGCTATTTTCACCAACCTCGTCAGGTCCTCATGCGAAAGGATAACGCGGGACTCGTCGTGAAAGTTGAATGCCAGGTCCATATCTGGAAGGTACTTGAGAAATTTGCCCATCATCCTCTTGGTGGCATTTTGCTGCCATTCGACGCCATTTTGAATATAAGTGATCCTGTGGTCTCGAATAGATACTCCAATCAACCCGTTATCAAACCCCAATGCCTCTCTGGCTCGAGCCCGGATAGTCTTGGGTTTTAGTCCCCAGAATGGAGTGATCAGGTCATGAATTGTGTTGAACTCGTCTATCAATTTGACGTCGTTATCTTTTGCAAATCGAAACCACTCGTCGAAAAGAGGTGGCGGCGGAATACCATATCGACGACGGTACTCCTGAACAGCCTCTTCAAGCGTCTTGGACTGTCGACCCCTGATTTTTCCAAACTCCTCCTGAGCATTTCTTGCAAGATATCCTATAGGATGCATTCCTGGAATGGAAACCTTTCTTGGTTCGGCGCTTCCTTGAACAAGTTCATCCTGTGGCGCTGACCCTGGAGTTGTTGATGGCTCTATGGGTATTCGAGTTTGAGTTTGGATTTGAATTTCTTTTGTGTGTTTTTGTGATATTCCCAAGAGACTATACGCACAGAAACAAAATAATGTTAGAGCAGTGATGGACAGGAGTTGACGCCGCTGAGAGGCGCGCAAAGTCAAGAGGGGGATCATGTTTATAGTTGGCTTCTCGGTCAAACAGAAAGCTAAATCGTCATGGTAAGAAGTATGTTGAAAAGTTCCATCGGCTCGATGATACAAGAGTATCTGCTGCTAAAAGAATTCAATTACAAAGTCTGGCAGCCATGAACTCATTACCAGTCATGATGCCGTCTCAGCGCAAAGCGGCAGATTGGCATTGACCTTGAGACAAAGTAGTGGATTGGCGTTGGCTGCATCATTTTAATTGGTTGGCCGTCCAAAAAGAAAACAATAGCTCAACAGGGACGTTGTTGGCACAACGACTTCACTAGGTACCTTAAGTAGGTACCTATTGGATCACCATGGATGCCAAGGAAAAAAATGGACAATAATTTTCCAGACATAGCCAACATCGAATTATAGAGCCGTATTCCAGAGGCATGTCTCTTGTCACTAATAGAATTCGATTGCTGGAATCATAACCAGAGCAATATTATGGGTGGATTGTACCGACCAAAGTGGGCATAACGTCAGGCAGGAGCATAGATACATTTGTCTTTACTTTCACAACATGTGTAGGGAGTCTTGAGTCTGAGCATCTCGTATAGGTTCAATTCTTGTGCTCGCGTGTGCGATAAGCGACGTTGCTATCAATCGCATCGGTCATAGTCATCATCATCCTGCCTCAACGCCGAGAATGCCCTGTGTAGTTTGTAGAAGTCACTTTTTGATTGGTATCCCGTCCCATTTAGTAGAAGAAGCCAATGATCTTGCCAGAAACGTGCTTGCGTCGGGCCTCCTCGTGGTCCATGATACCAGCAGAGGTGGTGAGGATGACATAGCCGAACTGACGGGCAGGGAGCAGCTTGACAACCCACTTCTCGAGCTCAGAGAGGCGGACGTTGTAGCGGGGGGAGATGACACCAGTCTTGTTCAGGCGGCCGTTGAGCTGGACGACGATCTTGCCGGATCGGTGGTCGTCAACTTCTTCGAACTCTCCGATATATCCTGGTGATCGAGTCAGTAATGTTTCGAGAGACTAAACGTTAGACATCATGGGTATAAAGAATCCGAAAAACGTGTAAGATCTCCGAGTTTGAATCTATCGGCAACTTATAGGGGCTGGGTCGTGGTGCAGTATCGACCGTCGCCCTAGTTATCATGCCGAATAAGGAGATCGAGAGTTGTCGACGACTCATGGTAGTTGGATCATGGTCAAGAAGAGCCACTACCAAATATTGTCATGTCGAATGGCGAGGGATACAAAAAGTGAAAGGAAGAAAAATTCCGAGACATACCGTGGCGCTGCATGACCTGGAGGAACTTGATAATGACCTTGGAAGAAGGTCGGATCAGGACCTGGCGCTTGCCAGCCTTCTCGGCGTTGTTGATGGCGTTGAGCGCATCGTGGAGGACGGAAGTGCGGACCATTTTGGTGGAGTTTTGAGGAGATTCTCAAGTCGGGACGGGAAATGAGGTATCTGGAATGGAATATGGTTGTTAGCCTTTCTAGGGCTCATGAGCGAGGAGAGTGCCCTCAACGATCGATCGCGAGGGTTCTGCCGCCCAGTGCTGAAGAGGAGAAGCGTATCGTGGAACTGTTGCCAGCCGTGAATAGAACCCGGCCATTGTTGAAAGATCGGCTCACGTATGACGACGCCCTCGATTGCTCTCCCTTGTCACGGTGAATAGCATCATCCTTCTGGATTCGAATCGCTGCGAGCCAGTTTCGTAGGATACATACCTCGAAGATTTACTTGGTCGATTGATGAGGACTACAAAGTAAAGGAGCGCGGATCACAAAGAGAGAAAAAAAGGTGTAGTGTGTGGATAGTGGGTCCGTGCACTTGCCCTAAGTGCACACTCGGTCGTTTAGATTTCGGCAAATCGACGTGGAACTAAACGAAGACATTTCCCAGATCACGACTCTACCCCCCCCCCCCTTCCAACTTTTCCTTGATACACATAGAAATCTTCGAGGATCGCCCGACAAGAAAATACTATCCAAGATGGTGAGTTTTTGAAGTCTTGCCGCCCCTTGTCGCCAATTGCGCTGTAGAGGCCTTGCAACTGCAATCTCGAACGGATGTCAATTCGCGATGGTGGGGGAAACACCAGAAATCGAAGAAAAATGTTGGCTAACGTTTTCTGTGGCAGTCGGACGTAGAAGACAACACCCCCGAGGTCGCCGATGTTGTTGAGGTTTCCGGCGATGCCCCCAAGGGCCAGATGTCCATTCTCGACGCTCTCAAGGGTGTCCTGAAGCTCTCTCTTATGCACGACGGTCTCGCTCGTGGTCTCCGTGAGGCTTCCAAGGCCCTCGATCGCCGACAGGCACACATGTGTGTCTTGAACGAGAACTGCGAGGAGGAGGCCTACAAGAAGCTTGTTGTCGCTCTCTGCAACGAGCACAACATCCCCTTGATCCAGATCCCCGACGGAAAGCAGCTCGGCGAGTGGGCCGGTCTCTGTAGGTTTTGCCTTGTGGAATCAACTTTGGTCTAGATTGATTTACTAACGAATACATATAGGCGTTCTTGACCGTGAGGGTAACGCCCGCAAGGTCGTCAACTGCTCTTGCGTCGTCGTCAAGGACTGGGGTGAGGAGTCTCAGGAGCGATCTATCCTCCTCAACTATTTCCAGACTGAGCAGTAAGGGCTTTTAAACGGTGTAGGATGTGAAGGGAGAGGATTAGAGGTGCGGACTTGACTTTGTTTCGAGACCGCTCGACATGACTTTTCTCTTGTACTCTAGCCACTTCGGTTGGCATCTAAAACGGTTTAGGCCTCATATCTCATGGCCATATTGCATTTGAGAGGAATAAAAAAAAATTGGGCATCAAATTAGATCCTCAACCTGTCTCTTGTTGTGTTGCTGCTGTAACGGTCATACCGGATTGACGTGACTATGCTCTGCCGTCTACTTTCGTCCTTCGACCTCCCATAATGTTAATCTCGGATCAATACTTGTGCAATAAGTTGTGAGCTTACCATGATGATATGATATCCAAACTCCGTCTTGCACTCTACAAATTTTGGACTGGCGGTCGTGCTGGGCTCAAGAGCAAAAGCCACCTCCTCAAACTTGGGGTCCAAGCTACCCTTGGTCTTCCATCCCAGTGAACCACCTTGCCTTGCCTTGTCTTCTGAGTACTCCCTTGCGACTTCATCGAATTTGAGGCCGTCGTTCAACTTTGCCAGAGCCTCCTCCTTCTTGGCGTGTTTCTCGCACTATGCACTCCTCGGTCAGTATGTCAATTGGTCAACACTTGTGTGAAACGCACCAGAATGTGACGGACGTTGATGCTCTGGGCACCTTTAGATTTGCCGCCAGAGTCTTTTGCATCTTTGCCCTTGTCTGCCTTGCCCTTGCCTCCTTTGTCGGCACCTTTCTTGTCGTTTTTGCCCATGTTGTTTGCGAAGATGTCATGTAAGAGGAGCAAGGTACCACAGCTGTAGTGGCGGTGGTGGTTTGGAACTTAAGCTACCCTACTGTAGATGCCCCGCAGTACCTAGGTCAACCATTGAAAGCTTTCCTTCCATATTGTCTTGTGTCGACGCGGAACCACTCCATCAGTTGAGGCACTCAATCAACTCATTCCAAAACCTCCAAAACTACATAGTACCTAGGTGGGTGTGAATGGACTGACAACGTCAGAGGTCTCTAATTAAACGTTACCATTATAATGCTATGAACTAGTCTTGTAAGCCAATTGATGCAGCGTAGCCATACGTCCCATCATGCTTCACCCCAAATCAATAAAGGCCTGCTTCCTTGATCTGATAACCCAACGAGTTTCGGAAGTCATGCGACCTCTGATACTCCTCCCGGTCGACTTTCTCTTGTGCCATTTCTAACTTCTAGTCGAGAAGAGCCTTGTTTCCCTTGTGCTTTTTGATCGCCTCGCCCTCGTATTTCTCATAGAGCTCCCAGTCGTCCATCTCAGATGGACGGGGTACATGCAAAATATCTTCTATTGGTACCTGATCCTCAACTCTTTCCAAAGTGAGCATCATATGGTGCCGGTCGCTGACTTCATTAAACCATTGACTATATCGGCGTATCGTATATCTGGCGCCTTATTAGCGAGTAGGAGCCGTAGGAAAGGCCATGAAAACCTACAAACCATCATAACGAATGCCGACCTTTGGTGCATATGGGCTTCTGAGGTGATGGCCTCGCAGGATTCGAAAGGTGGCTCCCACTTGAGATATGAGCGACACATGTATGTCAGTAATTCTTCCTTGTCTGACATATTTCAGAGTTCCGTCCCCTTCATTGATTTTCTCTTGCCCTGTGAGCAACGGTAATGCGGCAACTCCATATTTGCCCTTGGTAGGTTTCTCGCGAGCACTACCAACGATACCATCCCGATGCGCGCAAGCCAAGTTGAGCCACCAACTGCATTTCTAGCGTGAGTAATCTTCAAAAAGTTTCGACTGCTACGGGGGTCGGGTCTTCTTACTGCCCAGGCTCGATTTCCAGATTACCCTCCAGCTCTGACAAGGTCTTACCTTCTTTGGCTTGCCAACGTTCTTCTGAATTGTCTGCATTGGGGTTCAGAGCCACATCCCTGAGCCGTCCCGTTTTGGGGAGATCTCGATAGCGGTTTTGCTCCATATTGAAGTAGGGACCCCGAAACCTTTCAACCCATTTTCGTTCCAAGGCCTCTGCTCTTTCGACGTCTTTTGAAAATCTAATAGGGACCCTTGGGTGGCGATATTTGGGATCGATGAGATCCGATATAAGCTTGTCAAGGTGCGTGTCTCGTATAGTCTCGAATTCTATTGCGCGATTGTAGTGCTCCTCGTCTCTTAGCAGTGCCGCGAGAAACCCCATGGCTTCTTCCCACCTGTCCTCGGGACGTCCCTCATGCAGGCTAATGCGAATGGTGTCGCACAAGTCAAGAAGTACAGCTGTATCGTAACCAGCTCTAGATGGAAGACGCTGAGGCTCAGGTTGTTTCCCTTTTGAGAACTCAGAAGGCTCATGGCTGGGCTCTTCGTCTACGTGCTGTAAGTAGATCCGCATCATATAGCAGTGTACGGGTTAGCTCACCTTGGTGGGGAGGCATGAAGTCACCCGGGTCTTCACCTTGACTCCAGCGTTCACGGCGCTCACGACCGTGGCGACGAAGTACAGCAGACAAGGGTGCCTGTAAGCAATGAAATTAGCGTTATGGATGAATAGGGAAGCGTTCAGTAATATGGCCGAGAGGTGCCATGCAAAATAAAACGAATTGGGACAATATTGAAGCATTCAGTAGGATGTAGTGAACGAATTGTTTGTGACGGCCCATACAAAAATGGATATCCATTCGTCCTTACCTTGTAAATGTCCCGTGTTGAACCGCTTCTTATTACAGGCATCTTGATCGTGGATCGTTCCTGGGTCACTCTTCAGTTGCACTTGCGTTATGATGACAGACAGAACAGATGATCTTTCGAAGCTGCGTACGACAGAGTCTTTCCCGATCTTTGTCTTTACGGCTCATGATTGACATGTCAATTGCGGGCCCAATGCAGTCAACCGTAGAAGCGAGAAGTGATTGGAAGAGAACTCGAGCAGGGAGGAGAAATGGGAGCAGAGAATTCGGAATGATAAAAATAACCAAAAATCAGCAAAGAGTGTGTTGGTGTTGCTCCTCACTCTTCCCCTCGATAATAACTAAGGGAGATTTTTAAAAGTGGCCGAAATTTGGAGGAGGGGAGGTTGGATCACGCCTTGTCGTGTGCAAACGATCCTTGCAGCTAGCAATAGACCAATAAGTGACTATCATCACCGATCAGCCAAGGAGGTCTCACAGTAAAGTAGGTGGTATAAGTCATAGCAGCTAGGTAAGTACTTGGGTAGGTAGGTAGTTAGGTGCAGAGAGAAAAGGTTAGTTGAACTTGTCATGCGGGCTACTCACCAAGCGTCTAACGTTAGTTAGTGACTCGTACAAGAGAGGGGTTCCTGAGATGATGAGGAGGCATGTTTGTTAGTGATCTACTAGGGTACGTAGGTAGGTAGCTATGATTGTCCGCTCTTCCAAGACGGCAATCAGGATGCAGCACAAGTAAAAGAATACCGGGGTGCACCATGCCACATGAACTGTTCGTCCTGAAAAAGTCCGCTTATAATTTGTCAATCTCCAGCCCGCATGAATCACTAGACTGGCTCATGTTGTTCGCGGGCTAGAGATATGAATTGCAACACTACTTGTACTAACCTAGGCATTTACGTTGTAATTATGTACGTATTGCTAAAGAAAGCCGTGGCTACCTTCAGCCTGCCTCATTGTCGCGCACATCCTCCAGTATCGCTCCAATGAAATGTGGAGTACGCGACAAGCTACCTAGGTAGGTTGGTACCTAGTATGGTAGACCAAAGTTATATGCTTCTTAAAATCTAAGGTAGGTGTGAAGAATAGAATATTAGCTACAAGTTCCACCCCTCAGGGAACATGGAAATTTCCGAACTTAAATTAAGTAGTACAAAACGATTGGTCTTAAGACCTATTGTATCAAGTCTACATCACCTTAAAATTACTTGAGCCTTTTTGCTGCTCGCAATAGGGTTGGGATACAGGTGATGATTCTTCATGCCTCACCTTGGCTCCAGGCTATCCATACTACTAAGCTGGTCTTGCTTGAGACGGAAGTTGAGAAAACTTATGATTAACATCAAGCTGCCTTGATAAAACCAGAAATAAGCATATTAAGATAGCACATAATTTCTTGATATATGTCCTCTCCCCTGTTCGACTTTTCGGCAGCCTGGTAAACAACCAGTTTTCAACAAGAGCCTGCCCTCTGTTAGCTTGATAAATACTCATCCTCGACCGCCTGCCTTTTGAGGCGCCGCACCATAGTCTGGTTGGCAAGATAAGACTCACCGCCTTCTGATTTGAGTGTAAGATAAAATACTGCCGGGGAAAAAATTACATCTCGCATAGGTGCCCCCACCAGTTGATTCAACCATCAAGCGAAAGCAAACACATCTGTCGCAAGCTTTCGCCAGAATTGATATACGTCTAGATTGCAGTTAAAGTATCTGTAATGGCGGAGCAGTCTCATCACGCGGTGCGTGGTACCGCGTCTTATACACGATCCATAGGAATTAGCCAGCGTGTGACACCACTCGCGACACAATGGACTGGTGAAATGCGCACAAGGTGAACATTGAAGTCATGGTCATGCTAGCAATTGAGAGACTAATGCGATTCAGGTTCTCGGACTTTCAAGTCAATGAGATCAGGGAAGATGGGACAGTCCTGCACCTACAACAAGTCGGCCTGGCAGATGAAGAAGCACCGGTAAACAGAAGCAGACTCTACAGCTTTCCTCGCGCAGCCACTAATTTATTCTCAGGCGGCTGGAGTGAAGAAAGAGTTTAACGGCGAGTCTATAGCCCAGGAAACGAAAACAGATGAGCATGCAGAAGATGCCTTGAAGCAACCATCCAGCGAGACCGCTACGAGACCCGAGTCGGCACCTCAGCCTGAGACGGTCAACGACGTCTCGCCTGAGGATGCGGCCATCCTTGAGGATCTGACTGATCAGCGGTTCTCTCAGGAGCTGATTGGAGTATATCGGTCTGGTCATGGCGCCGATCATGAGAAGAAGAAGTCTGTTACATCGGAGCCCATGGACGACAGGGCAAAGCGTGGTCAAGTTCACCAAGAGATCCGGCGCATCTTTAAGTCTCGGATAGATACCAACACAACTGACGAAGGTGCTATTGTCGCAACTCTAATTCCCCCACGAAAAGCCAACAGCAAGAAGCGCGGCCGCGGTGGCCGTGGTGGTGGCCGTGAGGAAAAGCCTGCTGGTGAATACCTGCATTTTACTCTGTTCAAGGAGAACCGCGACACCATGGATGCCGTGAATCAGATTGCTCGTTTCCTCAAGGTCAAGCCCCAGGTCATTGGATACGCTGGTACCAAAGACCGCAGAGCTTCTACAGTGCAACGATGCTCGGTACGATACATGCGGCCACGAAACCTCGCCGGTATCAATGGGAGGATCTGGGGTGTTTCTACGGGAGATTACGAATACAAAGACAAGCCAATTTATCTCGGACAGCTTCTCGGCAACGAGTTTGTGATTGCGATCAAGAGTTGTCAAATAGTTGGCGAGTCCAGTGACCAGCCCATTGCTCAGCGAGTGAAAGTGCTGAAGAAGAACGTTGATTCGGCTCTGAATCATATGAATGAACACGGCTGGATCAACTATTTTGGTCACCAGCGCTTCGGAACTCACGAAGTTGGTACACACCAGATTGGGCAACTCATCCTTGGGGACAAGTACGAGGAGGCAGTCATGTCGCTACTCCATTACGATGATAAGATTGCACAGAGGGCTGAGGCGGGTGATATTCCTGACGAACCCTCCAAGAGAGACGAGTATTTGCGAAACCAGGCCTGCATGCTCTTCCTTACAGACAAAGATGTCGACCGAGCCATCAAGCTCATGCCTCGTCGATTTTCTGCCGAGAACAGCATCTTCAGACATCTGAACCGGCAGGGCGCTCAGTCTAGACGTGATTTCATTGGCTCTCTGGTTCACATCACTCGTGGCTTGCGCTCCATGTATCTTCATGCCTATCAGTCGTATATCTGGAACCACGCCGCCAGTCGTCGCTGGGAGCTTCACGGCGAGAATGTGATTGCTGGCGATCTCATTATCGCTCCGACGGAGAGTGTGCCTCTTGTCAGTGGCCAGGACCAAGACGGTGATGACATTATCAACCCTGTCGAAGACGATGAGGATGCTCCCGTTCGCGCTCGTCCTCTTACCGCTGAAGAAGCCGCCAGTGGTAATTACACCATTTTCGACATTGTGCTGCCAACACCAGGCTACGATGTCGTATATCCCGAGAACGATATCGGGGAGTTCTACAAGGATTTTATGGGTCGCGACGAGAATGGTAACCTTGACCCCTACAAAATGCGCCGTATGCGCCGCGAGTTCAGTCTGCCTGGCCGATACCGCAAAATCATGAACCGATTCCTTGCCACGCCCTCCGCTGAGATCCGTGCCTACTCGGACGATGCAGAGCAAATGCACCCAACTGACTTGGACAATATCAAAGCTTCGAAGGGCCCTAGCAGGAAGCGTTCTCATGAGGACGCTGACTCCGGCTCGACAGTCAAGAAAACGAAGGTTGAAAATGGTACGCCCGCTTCTGCAGAGGTTGAGATGACATATGTCCAAGCAGAGACAGCAGACGATGGCTCTGCCCCTGAAGCAGCTCCTGCTTCTCAGGAACCTACAAAGATTGCAGTAGTAGTCAAGTTTCAACTTGGACGCAGTGCATACGCAACTATTGCGTTACGCGAGCTCATGGGCGACCCTACTGAGGATACCGAGACTGTTGTAAGGGACACTTGAAATGCAGGCGTTGAATACCTAGGATAATAAAATGTAGAGGACCATCGACAGGAATTTGATACCCATGTATTTAAGTGGGGGGTACAATAAAACTGAGGCGCTTGGATTCCAGATATCAAGTATATCTATCTATGCGGAGGTCGCTATATTCTGGCAGCACTCAGCTTGATGGCTGGAGCAATTGCACCAATATTAAACATCCACTACTGCAGAGGACATGATAATACCACAAGAGGGTCTCCTGAAGCTACCTACTACAGGCTGGAGGCCGTTTGTCCGCACTCATTCCTGAGCCTATCATTTTGTATCATGAAACAAACATCAGTGACGATGTATTTAAAGAGATATGCTCACGACGAAGTCCGCAAGCTCTGTTCACATAATCGTGGGCGTAGTGTAAATGGCTGATGAGGAATGTGGCCTTTTCTGGTTCATTCATGGTCTTTGTGAAGCGTTAATGCTGCATGGGCATTTCTCCCATTTGCTTCTTCCGAGGCCGGGTTCACCAATTCTTCTGCTTTTGCGAGAACTTGTGCCGTCTTGATCTTCTTCCATTTGACATCCTGTGCTGTTTGGGCTGCTTTAACAATTTGCTGCTCCGAAGCTTGAGCTCGTTGTATATCTTTCTAAGAGTCCTTAGGTTGTTCATCCCAACCCCAGACAAAAGAAAGATATTTCACCATGTTGACACGCTTGGAGCGCATTTCAACCATCCATGGGTGCTCCATCATCTTCCAAGGACTGGCTCGTCTGTTGGGTTGTTTTTCCAAACTTAGACAATGTTAGCACACGCTCCTAAAAAAGGGGTGGGGGTAGAAGACTTACCAGCACTCGATAAAATATTTGAAGTTGTCACTCCAATACACATCCATTTCAGGTTCGTCCTTCAGTTTGGGCACGTTCTGTCTTACGATGTATGTGAGTAAATCTATAAGACCAGCCCGCGGTTGCATTTCTGTGCCGTCTGCGGGGAACGGGAAACGATGCTGCGCAACCTCGAGAAGGGTAACTCCGGTTGACCAAACATCCGAAGTAATAGTATAGGACTGGCCGGTGATACGCTCAGGTGCCATATAATAGCTGGTGCCGATAAAAGTATTGGCCTCTCCCTTAGTACCAAAATCGCCAGAGACGCCAAAATCGCAAAGTTTCACGGCACCATCTCGGCAGAGCAGGATGTTCGAAGGTTTGATGTCACGGTGAATGATGCGGCGAGTATGCAGGTACGTCAGGCCGCCCAGAACACCCTCAGCAATCTTTCCTAAAACCTTCTCTCCTGTTCTGCCCCCCAAACGCTTGACCTCCTTATAAATGCTATCAAGCGAACCGCCTTCACAAAACTCCATTGCAATTGAGATTGTGGCCGTAGCCGGGTCGACAAAGGCTCCATAGTACTTGCATATGTGGTCTGAAGCGCACTCTTTGTTGAATCCCAGCTCTCTGAGAATCTGCTTCTTGACGTCGGGGTCCGGATTCGTAGTGATGACCTTGAAACATCAGTATTCAAACTCTGGCATATGGTCGAAACAACTCACCTTGAGGGCAAAAACAGTGTTACCACCCTTGAGCTTGCATCTTGTGACAGCACCTCCAGCGCCTTCACCTAGATTTCCAATCTCGACAATTCTCTTCTCCAAACTTGCGATTCTCCAACCCTCTTCGTCAAGTTCATCAACGTCCAGAGTCCTGGCCTTCTCAAGGCTTAGTTTGTCGAATGCCTCCAAACCTTGAAGACTTCCATCTCGCTCCATGGATACCCCACCCTCGCTTCTCTCGGAGTACATAGATCCCACAGCAGATACCGGATCCGGAGTACCTTGAGGCCTTGATACACCTATACCATACTGCGAAGCAAAGGACAAAGCGGAATATTGAGATCCTGCAGAAGTGGGATTGCTTGCCCGTCCATCTAGAGGGCCGAAACTGCCAGACCTTGAGTGAGCCGCGCTACTTTCACTACCGCCACCTGCCGATGCTTGGGTTGCACATTGGGATCGTGGTAATTGTTCATGGGGTGTGACTTGACTACCCAGAGGGGTAGCTAGATGTAGTGTCGGCAAAGGGGGCCTTGAAGGTGCAGCCGCGGCTGCTCCTTGATTGCCTACAGCTTTGGCATTGGGTGACGGTGGGATAGCGAGGCCAAGTCTGGGTGTACGGGCTCCACCACTTCTGGCGCCAGGAATGGCGGGTCGGAGGAGAGGCACAGGAGAAGGGCCCGAGTTATGTGTTGGGAGAGAAATGGGAGTTGGAGCAGCAGGCTGTTGCTATAATTCGTGAGTTAGACATTAAGACAAGGAAGAGCAATCATGAGAGCGTACGGGTAGTGGAGTCGAATCAGAACTTTGAGGCTGTTGGTCGGCCATATTCGCTGTTGCGCTGGTGACACGGGTTCCAACAGTGTATACACAACAATGAGGTGTTGTTGGGGACCAGATGGAAAGTGATTTCTTTGTTCTCACAAGAAGTCTCTCCTAGGGAAGCTTGTATCAACCAGGGACGATCGTGATAGTCAGATGTGAGGAGTAAGCGTCGTCGAGCGGCCAGCGTCGTCGTAAGTATGAATACGGATGAAAGGATGAACTGATTCAACGTCAAGTGTTTTTCAATAGCAGCAACAGCGAATGTTGGGAATCGGTGAAGCCGACTGCTTAGTTGAGAGTGATCAAGGTACAAATGTCGTCGTCAAAGAACCAAGTGAGGCAGCCGCAGGAGTAACAACAGCCCACGCAAAAGAGCGGGGAAAGTATGGCTGGCGGCGTTTAGATATATGGAGGTAAGTACTAGAGGTAGTAGGTGAGCTTCGTAAATATACTAATGTTGTTACGCCCAAGAAAACGTCGCAAAGCAGGGCCTGAGCTGACAAAAAAAAGGCGTGGCAACGAACGACACGTCGTCGAGTGAATCCGAAACGGCAGGAGGAAAAGATGAGAAAGGGCGTGAGATCATATGAGAGGGCGAGAACTGGAGAAAAGAGGACGTGTAAGCTGGGAATGGCGTCCACCATAGATGCATTGATTGGATCGGGTCTGGGTGGGCGGGCTTGTGACTGTGACTGCCACTGAGACTAGGAAGGGCGGGGCGCTTGGGCATCTGTGACCCCTACCTGGTACAGTAGGTAGAGCTCAGTGGAAGATGCACAGGGCCCTTAGGGGTAGTACACAGTACATATTTTAATGGATCTGAGCAGTCTGAGGTACGGGCGGGGAGCTCTCCATGTTATTTGCGGCGCGGGGGCGTTGAGCGATTGATTGGGCTTCCCAGTACTCACTCCATCAGCATTGAGCGTTACCCAGCCTGATATTTCGCCTTAGAGGTACGGAGTAATTTACCTATTGCCTATCAACCAAGGATAAAGTAGACTTGAGGGGGGAGGGACGGGAAGTTGGCGAGCTTTCCAGGTATTGGTGGTTTTGAGACTTGTCTCAGATTCTCGCCAAACTCATCTACTAAAGTGGTTTAGGAACTTGCTCAATATATACAACACGCGCTTGATTACTTCTTACAGGCAGGTTATAACCACAACACAGACCGATTTGAGTTAAGTCATAGGTAGGTAAGTGTATTGGGATGGCCAGTTACTTGACTATCTACCTGGTACATAGATGTGAGTATATTTACTCTGTGATACCACTGGTCTGAAGTCTGGCAGGCCAAGCCAGCCCGATATAAAAGCCAAGGGTAGCCATCAGTTCGGCCAGTGGGATGAATGGTGGGATGAATCTACGAGCTCTTGTTGGTGTGATTCGGCATTTCCTTCTTTCATCTGCGGTTTGTCATGCTGGGGGCTTTTAATACTCCTATCGTGAAATAATGAATATCAATATTGGACATGGGCCTTCGAGAGACAATAGATCCTGGGAAATGAAGCCATAAGCCCATGATCAAGTTATAGCTGGGTTGCACATAAATCGTCATTCTTGTCGTCACACTCTGCAGTATTTCAGGATTTTTCGCTATGGCCCCCAACCGTCGGTGTACCAACGGGAGTGCAGTTTGACTTGGTCTCATTCATATTCCGATGAGCTGAGTCAACCTCCACATCCTCGTTTCGAAATTCAGAGTCAGGCTACAGTACTCCGTACTTCATGGCATCAAGCCAAGATAGTGGAGCTATTAATTCGCACAATCATGGGTCAGTTGCATCGGAAGCGCTTGTCCCATATCAACGTGGTCCAACCGCAATTCAAGACTGGGTAGGAATGAGGAGATCCTTCAAGCCCTCGGTCAGCATCTAATTGATAAAGCTTTCGAGAGTAATATGCAATATCGTTGTCGTAAGACAAGATAGACTACTGTTTAGGTGACAAGTCAAAATGCCACCCTAGGAAGCCCCTGAACTACATATTTGGAATAACACCAGGAACCCAGACGTGTTTGTGAAATGGATTGACAATCAAAACACTACCTACTTCAAACCCAATCAAATGGCGAAACATAATGACTGTCACATCACCTAGCTACGTCGCAGCTGAACACATCCCAGGCATGTCTCCCCATTCGTCAAAGGAACCCCTGTGATATTACGGGCGATCTTACAGGTTTGCAGGCGCCCGAGTGCCGGCTTCAAATGCGTTTTCTATCATTATCGGAATTATATGACTAAGGTAGTCATGATTGGTACATAACAAGATGATCCAAGATGAAAACAATAGAATCAGTCATCAGTTTATTCGCGATAGGTGAGCGTCGTAGGGATTGTTAGATACCTACCGACCTTAGGTACCTACCTACCTTAGCCTTTGAGAGCGCCTTTTTAGTGGCATGCCCCATTGCTGTAGTTAAGCGCGCGTTTAGGTGACCATCTGCGTGTGGCGTCGAAAGTGGATCAAGGGTCCCCATCCCCCGATTTTGCGACGCCTGTCACCGCCAAAATTTTCCAGTCAGATCCAACTTTGCATACCTACCTTAGCTTGGGAGGTTGTTCTTTGAAAGGATCAAATTGACTACTGCTATTATAAACTCGAATAATGGTGTCGCCTGTCGATCCTGAATGTGCGACTGCTGTGTCAGACGACGAAATCTTGTCTGGCGCTGCTTCATCCTCTGAAGAATCTGACTACCTCGACAGCGCCTCATCTCGAAAACGCCGGAGGACAACAGAAGTGCCCCAGACTGAAGGTAACGAGATCGAAGACGAGGATGAGGTAGACAACGAGGTGGAAAGGGTTCTCTCTACTATCAAAGTCCCATCTCGAATCAAGCGAGCCGTTCAAATTGACCAGAAGGAGGCTCAAACTAAAGCCTTGATCACACCCAAGAACTCGATTCAGGCTCCTACCGACCCAAATACCACCTTTTCTTCCCTCAACGTGCGACCGTGGCTGGTACAGTCACTAGCAAATATGGCTATCAAACGGCCGACGGGGATTCAAAAGGGCTGTATTCCCGAGATCTTGAAAGGCAGGGATTGTATTGGTGGCAGTCGAACAGGTTCCGGTAAAACAGTAGCATTTGCTGTGCCTATCTTGCAGAAATGGTCAGAGGATCCTACTGCCATCTTTGCTATCGTCTTAACACCAACAAGAGAACTAGCGCTGCAGATTTTTGAGCAGTTCAAAGCCATCTCTTCTCCTCAGAGCCTCAAGGCGATCTTAGTGACAGGAGGCTCAGATATGCGCACACAGGCCATCGAGATCGGAAAGCGGCCGCATGTGATAATTGCAACCCCTGGTCGTCTGGCGGATCATATTCGAACTTCCGGAGAGGATACCATTTGCGGATTGAGGAGAGTTCGATACGTGGTTCTTGATGAAGCTGATCGCCTACTCAACGCCAATGGGCCTGGCAGTATGCTTCCTGACGTGGAAGAGTGCCTCTCTGTTCTCCCCCCAGCTACCGAGAGACAGACGCTTCTGTTTACTGCTACTATTACTCCCGAAGTTCGAGCTCTCAAGGACATGCCAATCAAGCCTGGAAAGCAACCAGTATTCGTGTGTGAGGTTGACACACAGACATTGGCTATACCTACAACGTTGAAACAAATGTATATCAAGACACCCGTCACTCATAAGGAGCACTACCTCCACGTCTTTTTGCTCACCGAAGCGAATGTCGACAAAACTGTTATCCTATTCTGCAACCGAACCTCGACCGCCGACTACCTTCACCACCTTCTTCGAATGCTTGATCATCGAGTGACTTCTCTGCACTCTAAGCTTCCCCAAAGACAGCGAATCGACAACTTGGCTCGATTCCGCGCTTCAGCGGCACGTATCCTTGTAGCAACCGACGTTGCCGCTCGTGGTTTGGATATTCCTGAAGTCAGCCTTGTTATCAACTACGATCTCCCACGCGACCCCGATGACTACATCCATCGAGTCGGTCGTACAGCCCGTGCAGGTCGTAAAGGTGAGGCGGTCAGCTTTGTGGGTCAGCGTGACGTTGAACTGGCCCTTACAATCGAGAAGCGTGTCGGCCGTGATATGGAACCTTGGGAGGAAGAGGGCGTCAATCTCGAGACTCGTGTGGTTCGCGATGCCCTCAAGATCGTGTCAGAGAAGAAACGCGAGGCTTTATTGGAGGTAGAGGAAGGGAGGGAGGGAGGTGGCAAGCGAAAGCGCACAAAGCAAAAGTTGCGAGCGGAATAAAGCATTGGGTTCTCTGGATCAAACGGATAGACAAAAGCGTATTCTTAATATTGATTTCAAGAGGCTAATAATCCATCTCATGTAGACGACATTTGCGTAACAGGCAGAGCTCCGCCAACCTGCGCATGCCTAAAGTCATTCCTAAAGCACAACCAGGTATCTCATGTGAACTCTTTGCATATAATCCACAATCAAGTTCGTTGATGCGCAATTGACGTCTAAAAAAGTGCAAAAAAGTAAATTGGTGCCCCCAGCGAGGATTGAACTCGCGACCTCAGCATACCTCCATGAAGTCTTGGACATATAAGAGCTGCGTGATAAACCACTACACCATGGGGGCTCACGGCCGACGATGCAAATTTTCAGTATATAAGGCTCTGGACTATTTTACCGAGAAGTAGGCGCCAGCTTCCCACTTCATACTACACTATTTCACAGTCTTGATATATTTCGGTTCTTATTACCAGTAGTAATTGAAATTGAATAAGTCTAATTATATATTTTATTTAATTACTTTAATAATATATTATATTAAAAAGATAAAACAGACTTTTATTTAATAAAGTTATTTTTACTAAAGTCTTAAGTCTGTGTCTAAACTTCTATAATATAAAATCATGTCTAATAACAATATAAGCGCCAGTTTATTATCAATGCTTGATAGATCTATATAGAGTTATATACTTAATGTTATTATACTGTAATTCCCCAGCCTAACTGCCGACATGATCTGCAAGCTTCTGTTGTCGATCATCCGTGCCCGTTGCGAGAAGTAAATACTACTAGGTATGTTGAGCTTGTGATGATTCTCAGCAACTTCGATAGAAGCCTGCTTCTCGTCTAGACCAAATCAGGTCTATGTATCTCTGTCGTAAGTGCCGTCATCGCGAGATGCCAGTATAGGTACTGGGCTGGAAATGGCAATGTGCGCCGATGTCGTAGCAGTTAGGCAGTTTGCTAATAATTGCCAACATTGCCGTTTTATCCTCAACCGCCGCGAACGTGTCTCTCGGGGATTTTGCTCACAAGCTTTGCGTATCAGGTTGGACTCGCTGAATAAGCTTACAGAAATGCCAATTGACATGGAACTATTCTCCTGCGTCATTGTTATCGATCCGATCTCAATGCAGTGGTAACTACCTAGAGTGGACTTGATGATCGGGAAATTTCGTCGATCAATGTGTATTATGAAATGACGTAGGTTAGGACAACCTGAGCCAATGCCGGATGGCAAAGTCCTCGAATTGCCTTCTCGATTGCTTTGCTGTCAAGCGAATTATGTGATCGATGTGTTGTTGGTCTCTCCCGGGTAAGAGATGCGACAGCGCCAGATCGAATGGTATTACTATTACACTTGTCGTTGACGACATAACTTGTGGCGTTGTTCCTGAGGTTGACGACATTTGGCTTGGTAGGACGATCAATCTTGGCGTGTAAATGACATGGCTCACCTATATCCCCAAGCGTTAACATCATCGACTTTCGACAGCAACACTGGACCCGATTTCGGAACTATCGACATACTTTAACAATATCGTCCGAGGAATAAATTCATGAGACCTCACAAATCGATACATATGATAATTAACATTGTCAAGCAAATCGGAATTTACGGGTTTGTCTAGAACTGCGACAGTGGATGACGGATCCGTCGGAGCTAGGATGTATCAATGTAAACACCAGCGCCGGGGTTTTGCTGCTCTTGCTGCTCTTAACAAAAGAAGCGAGAACTGGAAATCATGCCTACCGTGTTCCTAGTCTGTTTCCCCACGTTCTCGGTAGATCGGTCCCTACGAAATCCGTGAGCTGCGCAAAGATTGTCGTGAGCGTCCCCCCCGCTGATCTGATCGGATTGATAGGTACGTAGGTGCTTGTCTGGGTGTGCATGTGGGCTCGGCATGTTTCGTGCACCCGAAAGCGAAAATTGTCCGCCAGAAAGTCAGTCACAAGGACAAAAAACTTAACCAACCTTACTTCACGGCAGATACCCTCGCACAACCATGTTTTCAAGATAATTTGAATTGATCAGTGAGTAGTATGTTCACAATCTTAGATCCACCAAGAAAGAGCAAGTAAACGGATGCATCGTAGCTTGTAGAAGCTTCTCACTCAGCAATGATATTATCAACACTCGGATTAGGAATCAGGTTCGCAGGGTTTTTCAGCGATGATAGGCACACACCCATGATCAACCTCAGCCGAGAAGAGAAGATGGCGGTGGAATTGACTGACAAAGCAGATTAGGGACCATCCGCTTAATGTGCCAAATTCGGCATGGGCCTGGAAAGCTTCCACGCTAACGCATATGTCCCTGGACCGAAAGCCTGAGCCTCAGACGGGCGCTGGCTGGCGGGCTTCTTTGAGCCTGAGATCGTGACTCTCACCAATCTCCGCTCTTCGAAGCTGTGATGCTGGCTGTGATGCTGCTGACTGTGTTGTGTTGTGGACAACCTTAACCAGACCAGCGGTCAATTGTCCGCACACGACCGATGAGTCCTTGCCAATGACGGTCCTCTGCGTGAAGCACAATCTGCGCCTTGTGTTTTATTTACAGCCGCTGTTACGATGTGTCACATCGGCATGGCAATACGTGGAATTTAGTCGGTGTTAAACCCTTTTGGGAATGAGTTACGATGTGCTTGTTCTGAGGCTTGATGAGTCAAATGATATCAAATCATCCAAACCAGGATCCATGCAGAAGAAAATGCTTCGAACATCGGCTGAAGCCGAGTTGATGGACGTATTGGGATCATTTCCCAACTTGCACCACATCCATAGCTGGAACTTCCCAGTGGAAACATGAATCGAAGAAATCTGCACCCAATGAACGTCCCAAGGAGTTGCCCGACACCAACAGAGACCCATTCTTTAAATCCGCGATTTGAGTACCGCCGAGGTGGCTGATGTTGATTAGCGAGGCACCGTACAGCGTGCGACCCATCGTGGAGCCTCTTTCGGCGATGGAAGCGAAAAAGAACGAAAAATATTTCCAGAAAAGCGGAGTTTGGAAAATCTGTGACTCTTGTCAATCCCGTCGTTAGACCGCCCAGCGGACAGTCACGGACGATTAGTGGTCGGCGACCTCGGGATTCAGGATAGACCGGCCTAGTCCGGCAATAACATGGCTTCTTCTAAGTCGGCATCATCTTGGACCGATCAAGAGGCCGTCTTAAGGCTAGCCGTGTAGCCGAGTTAAGAGCGTTACAACAATCCTGGATGCTAGCTACTAATACAACAGGCTGGTGCTGACTTAAGATGTCCAAACGAAAAAAGCGAGAGCAGATCTACAGTTGCCTGGCAGCCTGGTAAAAGCTTAATCAAGTGACCATGAGGCATAGGTGGTATTGGGATTTGGATTAATACTTCTTGCTCGTTATCATTGAACATAACGGTGGTGATTGGCAGGTCTGCTGGCTATCATTGGCTCGTATACCGTAATTCGGTCTTTAACAACAAAGCCGACATCCATGCATGGATTAGATGGCGGCCGACTGAGCTCAGCCCTACGATTGATTACACAATACGTGGACAAGGACGTATGTATGTTCCCCCGCGGACTGGGCCAGGCCCGGGCACAGTGAGCATCGTGCGTTGTTACTGGACGATGCCCTCTTATGCCCTCTCGCTTTCGCTTATGCTCGCTGTTTGGAACAGCTACCCCTTTCGCGGTATGCCCTATGATCCCTTGGCTGCTGACGACAAGCACACGAGGCGGAGTTATGTCCCAGGGAGCGGAATACGCAATCTGGACTGATCAATCAGCCACTACGTGAAACTCGTCAACATCGACGTGGAGCATATTCAAACAGTCGTTACGAATTTTGTTTTGGCAAGTCGTCGGTTAAAAAGCATCAGATTGAACTGCGCTGGGCTCAGCGGGCATTTACCATAGGGGGACTGGAAAGCATGTAGGTCATCCTACCTATCATCGTAACGGGAAATCAACTTTAGGTAGGCACGGGGTGCAAAATGTTGTCTTGGATTTGGTCTTGATGAATGCATGGAGATAATACAAATTCCCGTCCATCAGTATGTTGTTGCTGAGCCAGCATGCAGCGTTTGTAAATCAGCGTCACACCTGGATCTCTGCCTATCCCATCTAGGAAATCGATTCTGCAGCAAGAGTCATCGCCGTATCGGAGTCAGACATGATCGCGACACCGATAGGGCGCAAGGAACGAATAAGGTTCGCTCAATGCTGAGAAATGCATCTGCCTTAGGTAAGGTTCCTGAAGAGCAGGCTTGTAAATCCATCCTCGGATTTGTCGTGGTTCTAGCGGAGCTAGACGGACATGGTCAGATTAACGACTGTGGTAGGCTGAAGAGTCAACGCTACTGGCACCGGGTTTCTAATCAAAGACACATTTGCAGGCTGCTTACGGACCTCGAAAGCCAGCCTGCGATTATGAATCGCCCACGCCAGCCCTGTGTGAAATTGCGACTCGATGCGTGTGCTGGCAGTGCTTACCTTACAGTTGAGCATGTTTCGATCTGAGTTATGGTGAAAGCGATGGGTTTGTCGCGCCATTGAGGAGAGGATTACAGTTGCTACCGCGCAATACTGCCAGTAAGACTGACTCGACTGGCATTGGTACTTGAACCCGGAAGATGCAGTCGCTGTGATAACTCTAACAAAGTACTGAAGGACACGGCATGGAAGAATCCAGGGCAGTGAACCTCCGCCTGCCCAGTTCGGGTACACACAATACAGGAGGTACCTGCGCCGGGGCCGTCAAGTAGCGGCCTGACTGAGGTACCCAAGCCCGAGGATTGACATGGACTTCCGTAACGTCCGCCCGCTACATCGGGGCCGCGGACGGGGATGTTTCGCTGCCGGATAGAAGAGACGTTTCGTGTCACGGTGTCAGTCATCCATGTCATCCAGTAAAAGACAGAAAGGTACAGGGGCCATGTGCAAATCGATGTGCCGTAGGAGCCTTTTGGGTGGATCTTTCTAAGCTTCGCGGCTTCGCGGTGTCTAAGAGTCATCCGTCCACACA